CCAGGTGTGTATTCTTCCAATTCAGTTAAGCTCAATCCTGGGGCTAGGATCATGGTTAACAAAAGAAAACTTTAACCTCGGACAAACTTCCTTGATAAACCCAATTTTGAACAATAGCTCATAAGCCTAGTGTAAGAATGAAATTCCAATCAATACAGGCCATAGAGTTCATGATTAGCCTACAAATGACATTTTAATCAGACATTTTTAAAAGCTTTACCTGTTCTGGGTCTGTTGTCATTAGCTCACAGTTGTGCCTGAATCTGCACTCCCAATGCAGCCCTCTCTTACAGTAATAGCACACAGTTTGTGACCTGCGCCGTATGTGAACGCCTGCACCTCTATTGGAACAGATGCAGCAATCCTTCTTTGTCTTGCATCTCTCCAATCGGAATGATTTCTTAGGCTTCTGTGCCTAAAAAACAAACAGAATATAGACCTGAATAATAAGGATTCCAAGTTTAACATGTGAGGAATTAAATAAATGGTCTTCAAATTCACTCTTGTTCAAGTACAAATAAAAGATGATATTCCCCTCAACATGAAATGTTTACACAATGTGGCTTAGTTCATATGCACTGTGTCTCCTGCTTAACAATACTCTGGGAATTGGCCAGCTACATTTATAACATTTTACAATTTAATGAATTTTATTTAATTGGGAGTTGGCAATTTTAGGCTTTTAGTGACGTGTATCCATCTTGTTTGTCAAAAAAAAATTGGTGAAATTCATATGGAATTACTGATACTAAAATATTGATGATATAAAGATATAATATTTATACAAATTCACAACCCCACATAACGGCTCCTTTGCAGTATAAATTGAATTAAATTGACACCGTACATTTGCCTTCCCAGCCCTAGGAGTTGAATTTCAGTATGATTACAAGAATTAAAGCATGCATAATGATTCCAACTAAAAACTTGTCCCTACCTCTGGTGGTTTTGAACGGTGGCCATACTTTGAATACTTCTTGTGTAAAAGCTGACTGAGGGTGGGATGTTTGTGTTGAGCTAAGGCGGGGCATTCATGCTGAGCTCTACACATCTCATGGAGGTTATTGTCACACCCAGCACACATAGCCATCACACCACCTTGCTGGCATTCAACGCACACTCTGGCTGGGGCATGTATCATGATGCCGTCTACAGCAGTATTCTAAAAGGGGGAAATGGGTTGAAAGCCGATAAGTAATGAGGTTGTATCAAAGCAAGCAAGTCTACTCATTGTGAATAAGATTTTAATCACTGGCTGTGCATGAACTCTCTTTACCAATCACCTAAACAAAAATTTGCGTACAGTTACAATGCATAAAATCTACCTAAAAAAAGTTTATCTTGCATTCCACAGCCTAACTGATCAGGAGTATCAAGAAAATAAAGATTATATAAAACTGGGCACACTGAAGGTCGTGTCGTCTACTCAAAAGTCACGTTTTATGTCAGAATTAATATTAGAAGCTCATGTTTCAAATATAGTATTACCACTTTATAGGAATTACATACAAAACAAAATATTTCTTGAGGTATCGAATGGTGGGCATTTCGTTTAATACAGGGCAACTATGTAACTGCATTGTATGTCTTGACTTTCATGCTGAAATTACAAGTTCAGCTTCAATTAGAGATATTGTACATTTGAATACTAACAATAACACTAAACTCAAAATATAAGTAAAGGTTAATTGAGAATAGACCAATCAATGCACTCTTGTATCATTTGGAGTGGACTTTAAGATTATTATTATTATTATTATTACTATTATTATTTCGAGCACGCAGTATAAACTTAAAGGGCAATCCAACCCTTGTAATAAGTTGATTTGTATGAAAGCAGAAAAATAACAGAAACAGAATGGCAAGAGTTTGAAATGAATCAGATCAATAGTAAGAAAGTAATGAATGTTTGAAATATGAGATCACTAAGTCTATGTGAATCTAAAATTGGTAGTTTGGTCAGTGGATTGTGACGCAGAACGTGGATCACTCTCCTATTGGCTGTGAAAAAAAAATATCACTAATTTCCGTTTTTCTCTTAAGTTCCTTCTCCCTTGGGGCTCTACTCAAAATATATTATAAATATAATATTATTATAGGAAACTCTAGAAAGAAAATACCCCTCTGAGACATTATTTTGTTTAACATTTAAATTTTAGTCATTTTATATGTTGAAACAGATGGGAAAGTAGTCCGGCATTACATCACATTGACATTACTGCTTCAGCTAATTTGAAGTACCCATACGTATAGTGATTAAAACTCTAAAAAAACTCATAAATTTCTCATATTTAGTCAGATTTAGGTTCATCAGTTTGCTTCTCTGATTTTTCTGCTTTCTTTTAGAGTAGATGTCTGTTTGGGTTGTATTTCCCTTTAATCTTACATATTTTTCTATCTCTCTTTATGCTCTTTGGATGTTAATCATTTGAATGCCTCATATAGCATGGGGGCTAATAGTTTAACCGTTACAATAGTAACTTACAATTAATTTTATGTTACAAATAGATATTATTAATAAATTGCATCTAGATTGGAGATATATTTTTGTGATTGATTAAAATCTAGGAAATCCATTCATTAAAGAATTACCATGGTCAAATACTATGGATTACCATTCACACAGTACACAAGCGAAGCTTTGGTTCATATGCAGTGTTATGGGCCTTTCCTGTAAGCATGCATTCTGTAGTGCAGGCAGTTTTTTTATATTTTTTATTCAATTTCCTGGCACCCAAAGATTCTGTACTGGGGCCCCTATGCAGGGCCTCAGGGTAATAACAGGAAGTCATGTCAGACCTGATAATTAGCAAAGGAACCCTAACATGAACAAAATTTGGAACACAACAGAATGGAGAGAAAATAAATCAACAAGCCTGTAGAGCATGCAACTTTATGAATTGCCTGTATCATAGTGCTGTAAGCAGTGTTCTCTCTATATATTGATGTTTCTCTATCTAGGTCTCTGTCCACCCTCTGTATCTCTTTCTATCAATCTCTTATGATGTTCTTTATAAATAAACAACCTGTCTACTTTTGTTTTACACATTTTAAGTGTTGTTTCTTTTTTGTCTTCATAAAATACAAAAATTCCAAAAATGTTAAATAAAAATTGGAAAATGATATTTTGTATTAGGATTTACATGTATAATGATAATGATTGAATGCCTCAATGTTGTCAAGATATATAAATGTACAGGACTAATTGAACTCAAGACATAATCAATATTGAAGCCTACATCTCATTAAATATTTTGGCATATCTTGTCTAACAAACCCTTAAATATTGACCTTGAGGCCATTAAACATTACATCAATCACCTCTGTATTGTCATTGATTCCATGTATATCAGAGTTTAGATCACACCGATGAAGCACAGAGCAATCTTGATGGAGCCCCCGGCCACAGTTGCTGCACACAGTAGTTGTCAAATGTCGTTCATCCACATGAGTTAGGCCATTGCTGCATACACTACATGCTAGATAGCCCTCTGAATTCTCCAACGTTTCCTGATCAGAGTGCAATGGTGTAAAGCCCACAGAGCTGGTTGGTATTCCTCTATGCTTTCGTTTGAGGTTAGCCGGGGCCTGTGTCAGAGCAATCAGGGAAGAACCTTGTTTGAAGATCACTTGCTTGCTTGCCAAATTTCATCAACAAATTCACAACGGGAATCAAAAACAATTTGGAATTTATTGGATCAAATAAACTTCGTAAGTTAAAAGTCTTCTTTATTCTTATAATTGAGAACAAATATAATGTATTGCCTACATAATTTACTACACAAGGGCTCAAATGTCAGTCTATAAGACTCTAGCTCTAGCTTTGAATAGTACTCTAAACTCTTAAAGTAAGTCTATATTGTTAGTTTCTTTTGTAATTCATTAATATACTGACATACATGAAAGAACTCACACAATTTTGCTACAAGAAGGGAACACTATTTTGACAGTTTCTTTACATGGACATGAACAATCTTCATGTATTTCTAATATTCAAAAAGAGCAACAATAACCTATTGTATCGATGTACATTACAATATTTCTAAGCTACAATGATTTTATACATGTACTGTAAGCTCAATAATAACACAGAAAGCAAACTTTACCTATCTACATGTACAGTGTGGGACCTATACAGTGCATAAAATACTAAAAACAATGACAAACACTTTGAAACATTACATTGACATTTGACAATACACTAACCTTATCAATAAAGGGTAAAGAAGTTTTTGTCGATAGCGGTGTTGGACGGCAGGTCGTGCAGGCAACATGCAAGCTAACAGTTGCTGGCTGCAAATCAAGTGCTTGCAGCAATGACGCTATGAATTTTCAAATAGGCCTTCATCAAATATTAAATTTATAAGTTTGTATTAACGTTTGGTTCGACGGTTTATACTATAAGGTTCCAGAACTATACCACTAGTACCCCCCAGCTCCTGATGAAAACAGGCAAACATATAAACTGAGCAGTAACCAATTCAACAATTGTTCTATGATTTCTGATAACTATATACAGAAGTCTTTTGCATGCATACATGTAATTTATAGTAGACTGTGAACATATGACATAATTTATTCCAAGATTTGAGGAATTTACCAATTTCTTAAGTATTACATGAATACGAGACAATGAAGTTTCCTTAACAAGTAAAGTTGTATTCAAATTTCAGCTGGATACATTTGTGTTAGTGAACAAGCAACTGTCAAAATAGATTCCACTTCTTTAGTAGCAAAATTTACCAAAACTATGTACATGTATAGTTGAATATGCAACTTCAATCTTACACTTAATTTTTTGCAAAAAGGGATAAACATCTGTAAATCAAGTGATAACAATTAAAAAAAAAATTATTACGATATTTTAGAATATAGGAAAATATATAATTTAAAATTATACACAGAAAGGGGAACAAAATATAAATGGGATCTTAATGATTATTATTTAATGTTTCAGATTGAACATAATCTAGTAATTTAATTTATCTTGATAATCCCCGCCCCCCCCCCCCCCCCCCCCCCCCCCTGTCTCTCTCTCTCTTTATTAATCTTCCCCCATACGTCTCTCACTCCATTCCTCTTTGTCTTGCTCCCACCCTATTTCACTCCCTCCCCTTCTCTCTCTTTCTCTCCATCCTTGTCTTTTCTCTTTCCTTCCCAACCCCAAACTCCCTTGCCTTCTGTTTTATCAACAAGACTACTTGGCTGGACTTTGTTGAATGAACACTGTTACCAACACCTGCAGTACAACAATATTATTGCTATCAGAAACACCCTCCAATGCTCTATTACAAACCCACCTGTCTTGAGTGCCGTAACAGATCTGTATTGCCTGCAGACTCCTGACCTGTGCTTATGCCTGAGTCTGGTGGTGAGTCTAACTGTATAGTGACAGGTCCGTCATTCTGTATATGAACCTGCATGTGTGCTCCAAATTGACCATCTGCCAAGTATGAGAATGTCAGTCTACATGTTAAATTTGGATGTGTAGATATACAAGTACATGTATGATTTATTGTTAGTTGTGTACGGTACTTACATGTACATGAGTGACGTGGCACAGGTCTTTGCAATTTTGAAGAAAGAAAGAAATCTACACTTTACCAAGTTGTGAAGACCCAAAGAATAGAGCCTGACATGTATTATTTCACTGTAGAAATATACATGTTGAAAAATCAGTCCGGTCTTTTTAATTATTGAAGTATTAAAGGTATTACAAAGTTTTGGTAAATCTTGAAAATTGGCTGGATAGTGATTCTTTACAATTTTTATATATCTAGATGCCCCTATGGATGTATTTATAAGCACTAAAAAATTCAGCCCTTAAAACACTTCGGCTTTCGAGAAAAATTGAATATACAAATTTACCGGTGCTCCCGGTAAATTTTAATAAATTTCAAATAGCGCCTACGATCATACGATGGTAGTTGCGACCATGAAAATCTCACAATATGTAGTTGTGATACATGTACATATATTTTAAACGGTAATAGCAAATCGGTCAATTTTAGTCAAGGAACATTGTTTTATAGCTAAATTAATATATTGACCTTGAGAGGGCGCTGTACAACATAAAGAGTTTATTATTTACAATTTCATAACTTTAGAATCGATTTCAACCGTGACAACGTTCACTGAATATTGTAGGATCACATATGCTTCCAATATGTTCATTTGAACCAAATTCATGAGCCCATACCAAAACTTTGTATTAACTTTAAGTAGATAGTCTTTAGTGACAATCTCATTGAATTTCTTAGAACTCTCCCTGTTCTTATTCTAAATGAATATTAAACTTTATTTGCTCTAATATCCTTATGTGATGTTTTTTTTCTTCTCCCTTTCTTCCTTACATTGGAATCATTGATTATCAATTCAACAACTTGAACAACTTATCACATGTTCCATAGTTGTATTGGGGTTTCTCTATCATCGTTTATACATGGAAATGATTTGAAGATTCCTAAAACATGTAATTCCAAATCATCAAACTACATGTACATTATGTTCTATATATGTACAGCTAGCATGAGGAATTAAACAATCTTTGAATTGACCCATGTGACTCATAAACCTTTACGATTTATTCTTACTTGAAGGGTTGTTTCCCATTAACTGCAGCACTGGAAATGAAGTCATGAAACATGAGCATGGCTAGATATTGCAATACTTTCATGAAACAATTACATGTATGTACATCGATCAAAGCCAAAATTTCAATTATCATGTGAATGATTTTTTTTTAATCGAGCACACACCTACTCCATTCGGAAGACGAAGTGACAGGGCTTTACAACTAATATATTACTAGTACAGTATGTTTTATGAATTACATTTCAAATTGTTTTTCATTCCATAAGAAGCATATCAAAACCTCACCTTTAATCTTATCCGGATTATAATCCTTCCTTAGCATATCAAGGAATTCATTGTAGTATGTTTGTGATTGGTCTCCTGGCATTGCCTGGTGAAAGTCTGGTTTATTGCCCTTCAGTATAGAGTACAGTGTAAACTGAAAATAAATATAAAACATACACCACATAATGTATCATTCTGTACTTACCGTACTAAAACTACCTACATTCTGTTGTGTAACATTTTTAATAGTTGTTGCCATCACACACAGCAAATATGGAATTCTTAATATTCTATTAATATTCCTCATTGCACAAGTCCATGGACCGAAGGGCATTACGTCTGTGTTAAAGTGCATTCATAAGAACACCTCTGTGGTTCTTAGCAAAAGATTTGTACATTTAGTGCTCTGCTTTAGCAAGAACTTTACTGAGGTATTTTACAATCTGATATTCTGAGTAGACCCTAACTGCTCTTGCGCACCCACATGCAATTCTAACAATTTTACAATCAATATAAATAGAAATTTGCATGTTGCATCCTAATATTAAATTCACATTTTGTAGACTTACAAAAACATGTATGTTACAAGTATACCGGTATGTATGGAGCATTATACTGAGCAAATATAAGCACCATGAAATCAGGGGTGAGCACTAAAAAAAAAAAAAAAAAAAATATTCCTCAACAACCCCCCCCCCCCCACCTCTTGAGTGAAAAGAAGAAAAAAAAATTGGAAGGGGGGGGGGGGGAAATGGCGTCCAAAAAAATTCCTCCCCCCCCCCCCCCCCCCCCCCCCCCCTTTTGAGTAAGAAAATTGTGGAAAAATAAAGGAAAAATCTAGAAAATAGGGGTAAAATTGTGAAGAAGAAGAAGAAGAAAACATATCAGGGGGAAGGAAAAAAATTGGGAAACCGATTTAAGTTGGGTAATTATCAGGCCTGCATTAATTCCCTTTAACATGCAGTTTTCCAGTTCTATCCAATATGTGATCTGAAATACTATAATTTAAAATGCAGGGATAAATGAAGAAATGTAAATTCTATACAATTTCACATATGAATATTAATTACCTGACTGACACAAAGAATTTCCAGTTGTTTGTCTTTGACACTCTTCGCCCATCTTTTGTCATTTTCATCATCAAACACCCTCAGGTTCAAAATCTTCCTGACTCTGTGAAGAGAAAGACAAGTTTCAACAAAATATATTCCTCTTCACTGTTATTGACATTCTTTATAACTGACAAATACTTCACATTTACAAAACAAGTTTTAAACTTTCTCTTCCAGTTCCAACATGACACACTAAACTAAACGCCATGAAACCTATCTTGAATAAATTATTAAAAAATAAAGAAACGGTGAAGTAAAATTTACAAAAGAATGTACATGTAAAGTACATTGTAATAAAAGTACCCACAATTTAAAAAAAAAATACATACTGGTACTGGTACATGTACTTGAATGTATGTAATACATGTACCTTTAGACATACTTTTGAAACAAAGGTTATTCTTGACAACTTCAAGTCTAACACTTCTTGACAAAAGCTTGCCCAATATAGCAACAAGTACTTCATGCAGACATGATTCAAGTGTTGTAGATCATTCATTAATAACAGGTCAATGAAAAACCTTGTCACTAGGTCCTCAGAAAAGAAACATCCATAAATTTGAATAAATATTAAAGCTTATCTGCACTAGTTTGGCCAGAAGGGATATATTAGACCTCCCTGTATGGTCACTAACGGGTGGTTATCTCATCAGATCAGCTCTCAATGGGTACAACTTAGGCATTGTTTTCATTTGTATAAATCTTGCACATATTCTTGAGGAATATTGTACATCAATAGGCAAGAATAAATCTCTTCTTTCAGCATACCAAGTTTACCTACAATGTACACATATTATTCAGGCTGAGGATTCCTGTAAGTTTAAGGAGGGAAACCAGTATGTATGGACAATAGAGTACTCACATGTATTCTCTTTCTTTAGGAGTGTCATCTTTTGATATCCCCACCAGAATACAGAGTCCTCTTCCAATGCTACTTATCAATTCGTCACCAACTACAGAAAGAGAAACGGAGAAAGGAAAAAAAACAATGATAAACATTAACAAAATCTATACAAGTTGAATAGGAGCGCATTTTCCTATTTCTTCACAAGGAGTGGGCAACACATGCATGCAGACTGGTCATCTTCGGTACTGTACACCTAAATAGCAGGGTTTGGACAGCCCGACCAACAGACAACCTGACCCTAGATAGCTCAACCTATCTAGTTATCCAGGGTGAAGGGCCTCACCAAACAGCTTGACCAACAATGACTATTTATGTGGTAAATTACAGATTAACTAATGCAGTCATGGCAGGGAAACATGGTAATTGTGGACAATTATGGTGCACAGAAGGAAAGTAACAATACTATTTTTAAAGAGAAGGTTGAGTTCTAGGAAGAGGTGAAAAATAATTTGTGAGCATTACTCATTCTTATTATGCAAGTGTGGAAGAACATCAGTTAAGACATGTTCCCTGAAAAGCATGGCTCTTCAAATGCCTTCATATTCTAAATATGCATGTAACATCGTAAAAATCGGGGGCCGGATTTTTACGCCACGTGTTCGTGTAGTCCCATATACATCTTTCTGTGCAAGTGTTTGTAACTTTACCAAGACTTGGCCAAATTTCTTATCATTTTGATGATTCCAGAACCTTGCAATACACACAAATTCTTATACGCTAGATGATCAACCTTTTCTGGTCGGTTCCACACCGTTTCTTTCACAATGCAATCGTATGACCAGAACTCAACTTCATCTTTAAAGATAAAGACCACTTCATCAGAAACTTTCTTTTTCCTTGCAGGTCTCAAAGTGAATGCCATGTTGGTTGTACAAAATCAAGGACACAGCAGAAAGAATATATCCTAACTATATTAGTTGTACACTGCACATCTCATTGAACGCGGTTAAGATTCATGAGAAAATTCAACAGCGGGACAAGGGTTGTAAGTTTCAAGACAAGTATAGCATTTCAAACATTTTTTTCTCGATTCACAACATTTGTATATTTACAAACGTTACTGCCAGCGGAAACCACAAACCGCGACTCGGCGAGTGATGTTAATTTCGTTAATGTAATGTGATTACCAGTAGAGGGAATTTGAGGAGTTTTGTATCAACCTAGCCTATAATCTAGGCGGAGTGCCGAGCTTTTTTCTTTGCTGCTAGACTAACCCTAAGCAGAACGTCTGATACGGCGAGACTACGAACCGTGAGTCGCGAAGCGGCTCACCGCCTATAATCACTGGTCTAGCTAATCAATATTCATATATATTCAAAATGGCGGATCTATGAATCATTCAACAGCCCTACCAAATAAGGTACACCTATGTTACGTTCGACCAATCAGATATACGAAACCGCAACGAAAAAAGATCATGATCATAGAATCCGTGGTCGCGTAGAAAATCACAGCACAAGGGGATTGCTTGGTATATTGCACTCTTTCCAAAACCAGTAGGTAATGCAACAAAAATATCCCTGCCGGCTTCAATAACGCTACGAATAGCGGATTCCTGCAGTTCTCTGAATTTTCCATTAGGAATGCCTAGTTTGTTGGCCGCATATGATAAACTTTCTCGCAGAAGATCGTCGTCGCATGAACTACCCGCCATCTTGGATGAAGAAAATGACGTAATGTCAAGTGATTTATAATATGCATATGCATAGACTCTTCTCCATACGTGTTTCTGATTGGTTGAGTTCATTTCGTATTCATGAGGTTTTTTCGTACGAAAAACTGCCACGGATTCATGGTCGATAATAAAAAAACAACGACTAAAGCTAGACCAGTGATTATAGGCGGTGAGCCGCTTCGCGGCTCACGGTTCGTTGTCTTGCCGTATCAGACGTTCTGCTTAAGGTTAGTCTAGCAGCAAAGAAAAAAGCTCGGCACTCCGCCTAGATTATAGGCTAGTATCAACCAAGCGAGTCAATATGTTGTGAATGATGAAAACAAATTATGGATATAGAGATAGCTGTGTGTAAATGTTTTACCCTACTTCATCGCTGTTATGCGGGCCGCATTTCATTCATGAGCTATTTTTGTAATTACCGGTACATTTATCTGAATCTGAATTCTCCTTGGATTACGTGGTGTTCAACGGCATTATTTACATTGAGATTCTACGAGATAATCATGTTTTTTCAGCAACTGTTTTGGCTAGTTTCATGATCAAATGACTGAGTTCTTCAATTCTGACCGTATGAGAACTTGTGGCCCAGCTCCAGCAGCTGACTCGGATTTGGAAGACAGTGATATGGAGTATGAGTAAGAGACTTGTCCCACACATACCGTATTTGCCGGCGTAAAGGCCACAGTATTTTTGGAAGAGAAAATATCAAAAAGTTGGGGTGCGGCCTTTGCGGCGAAAGAGTAAAACCCCCCCCAAAAAAAAACACGAAAAAACAGCACAAATTTGCACATATTGGACTACAAATAACTTACCACTATGGTACAGGACATTTCCACACATCTTACCTACAATTTTATTTTGTATTGTTGACATGAAGACAAAAAAAAAACTTCCTAAAACAACATCTGCCGATAGATCTTGATCTAAGTTTGTGCCAAGTAAAAGAAGGGACCGTTACGGAGCTGCCGCGAACGCAACTGCACATCCAGCCGAAGTCGTCATTTTGTATCGATTTCATGCAATTTCGCATTACACCGTACATTGTGGTAGGTGTACATATCCGACACCAAATCTGCCTGTGATCCCTTTTTAGCTAAATTTCTGGTAATTTATAAGAATATTGATGAATTTGGTATCAGTGTGTAAAAAAAATGAGTGTTCTACAAGAAAATTACAATTACTTTGTTTTGTCCGTTTGTTTTTTGTTTTTTGTTTTTTGTTCTCCTCTTTGAAATGTCAAAGTTGGGGGTGCGGCCCTTATCACTGGCAAATACGGTATATGTACACCTTTATATGGCAGGCGTTTCTTTACAAGTTATCAAATAGGGACACCAACCGCAAACACTATTGGCAGCATTACTATCCTGGCTGTGTATTAAGATGGGCAACACAGACTACACTGTACTGCAATACATTCATGCAACATTTTAAAAAACCTGTACCGGTATACTTTCAAATGGTTTTATAAACAAATTGAATGAATCAATGTTGATTACAATTAAGTAATGATTGGAAATGACAAGTTTTATTTCTATGATTTTGCAGATATTTGAGCCTATTTTTATCGATTGGGCCAACCGTACTCTGTTCCGCCATTTTCTAATTTTATGTTTTTTTAAAAAGAAGGGAGACTTTATCGTTGCTGATTGGTTGCTAACACAGGGCAGCGGCAGGCTATCTGCACATGTGAGATAGACAGCCACCCGTCCGATATTGCACAACTGCTTTAAATGACGTCACTGGTAGAGTGTCCGCAACGCACACTTTTTTTATTTTATTGATATTATGAGGAGGGAACTAAGCATTCGTCTCTCGAGAAGGAGGGGGGAAAAGGGCTTTAAAAGTAAGTTTATTAAATTTCTTTCCATTTAGTATAAAAATCATGTACCAAAATGGTATATGATTCAATCAAGACCATAACCCACGTTAGGCCATTTAAAAAAAAATCATGTTGTAATGTCGAGTATTTTACCAGTATAAAAGTTCAAAAATGGATCTATTGATTTACACCTGTCAGCAGGTATGAAGTCCATCCTGTTTATGGTTAGACCTTCATGCATTGCAGAAGTGCCGGCAACCTACACTGTACATTGTACCTACAGACATAAAAGAATAGGCTTTATCAGTGGACATGATATGGGGTCCAGACAACTCGCCACAAAGACAACCCGCCCCAAGACAATCCGCCACAATACCCTGGACATCTCGCCACAATACCCTGGACAACTCGCCACAGGCGAGTTGTCCAGGGTGGGGTGCCTTTTCGGACAACTCGCCACACTTTTTTCCCCTCATGATTTCTAGATCTAAAATAGATGGAATTGTCATTTTATGTATTCATTATTCTTTTATAAACACAGTCATGACAGGAAACATGGAAATTTTGAGAGTTGTTCTAAAGAATGAAGATGATTTTCCTTGCGCTTGCAACAAGACCCACAACAAGAATCTATTTTGGACTTTGCGAAACTAACCTAGAAAATCTAGAAATAAACCATATTTCAATTTTATTTCGTGGGTCAACTGCCCCCTCCCCCATCAGGACGCCAGTGCTTCCAGTACCCTTCCATAAATTCCTACCATTAAAAATTATCAGAAGGGAAAAAGGACATGTACAAAGGATAAAGGGGGCACTTTAGGGGAACCTGAAAAAGTGGGGGCACAGTGTCCCCCCCCCATGAAGAATGCCGCCTCTGACGAAACTAACCCAGAAAATCTAGAAATAAATTACATTTCAATTTTATTTCGCGGGTCAAATACCCCCCCCCCCCCCCCCCCCCCATCAGTACACCAGTGCTTCCAGTATCCTACCATTAAACAATTTCTGAGACAGAAAAATGCAGCTGCTATAGACCTATAGATCTAAATACCAAGTTATCCTAATGATCTGGCGATCGTACGCCTTCGGTTTGTCAAAAATATATTATTGTTGCAAGGGAAATCAGCTTTATTCTTTATTCTTTGTAATGACTGTGTTTATAAAAGCATGAAAATCATGAAAAATGACAATTTCATCTAAGATGAGGGATTTTAGATCTAGAAATCACGAGGGGAAAAAAGTGTGGCGAGTTGTCCGAAAAGACACCCCACCCTGGACAACTCGCCTGTGGCGAGTTGTCCAGGGTATTGTGGCGAGATGTCCAGGGTATTGTGGCGGGTTGTCTTGGGGCGGGTTGTCTTTGTGGCGAGTTGTCTAGAATTCCATGATATCTATTCATAACTGACCTGGTCAATGCCGCCAGTCAATGAGAGGATTAGTCCATTGTCAAGCCTCAAGGGTAGCTTTGTGCTAGCAGTGTAGCACACTTAGTCTTAGATTTTACAAACTTCCTCTCCTCTTGAACACATGGTTTTGATGTGTAAAGAAAGCTTAGGCATTAAACTTTTCAACAGTCTAATTAGAAAAAAAAAAAAAAAAATTGATCGACACTTTGGGAAATTCCACTTTGTATCATTCTTCAATTTTGTGTGTGCGATGATCAGAACCGGAGGCGGAGCGATAGAGTGAGCAACCGAATATTTACTAAATATTCAAGCGTCGGATTTCAACGTTGGATTCTAGGAACTTAAGTAGACTCTAGGGTGTCAAATTATATAGACCTGTCTCTCGATAGAATATTTATTCACTTACCTGCATATGAGTCTACGCTACAATACAAGTAGGCCTAACTTAGAGTCTATGCCATATTTGCCACGGCCATGGGCCTGGCCATAGCGCACAGCATGCGACAGGGCGGGACCACCGGCCAGGGGCCCACATGCACAACACACACGTTACTTACACAGAAATTGTACGACAGACTTTCACACACATTTTACATTCATACATCACACAACAAAGGCGATCGAGACGAGGGTCTCTTTCGAAACGGCTGTAATTGTTTGTAAACAGAACACAGAACTAGTAAACGGTCTGCTTAATTCCTTTAAAACTGTTTAACTTACCAGTTACACTCGCTTTGGTGACTCGTTGGATAACTGTCCTCATTTTGACTAATATTAAAAATTAGTAGCCATCCAGGCGAAATGCAAACGGGCCCTGCCGCAAGCCGGATATAAGTACACACAACAGTACGGCGCGGCAGCAGCATTGCAGATCAACAACCAGTGCAGCTACAGTATGCGCAACAGTGCACTCGAACTGAATTCGTAGGCTAATTTTCCTTCGAAATACAATAAGTATTCGTATAATGATAATAATATTATCATTATACGAATACTTATTGTATTTCATAAAAAAATATATATATATATTATATATATTATAAAATATAATATAAAATATAATATAAAATATATATAATATATATTACACAGAAATTGTATATATATATATATATATATATATATATAAAATATAAATATAAATATAAATATAAAATATAAAATATAATATAAAATATATATATTATATATATTTTTTTATGGCGCTTGTCATTCGTTTTTTAAATATTTACGCCAAAATTACTAGAGGATTATGTTATAGTTTGATCTTAATTAAGGATATCTTCTTTTATCTTATTTGTTTACAGACCGTGATCATTGTTGAAGTCTATTGATCGACTGACACAAATAGCCAGGCTAATTTTCCTTCGAAATACAATAAGTATTCGTATAATGATAAATATTATCATTATACGAATACTTATTGTATTTCATAAAAAAATATATATATATATTATATATATTATAAAATATAATATAAAATATAATATAAAATATATATAATATATTTACACAGAAATTGTATATATATATATATATATATATATATATATATATATATATATATAAAATATAAATATAAATATAAATATAAAATATAAAATATAAAATATAATATAAAATATATATATTATATATATTTTTTATGGCGCTTGTCATTCGTTTTTTAAATATTTACGCCAAAATTACTAGAGGATTATGTTATAGTTTGATCTTAATTAAGGATATCTTCTTTTATCTTATTTGTTTACAGACCGTGATCATTGTTGAAGTCTATTGATCGACTGACACAAATAGCCAGATCTGATTTAATTACTCATGGTTACAGGCGCGGATCCAGGGGGGGGGGGCCGAGCGGGCCTTGGCCCCCCCCCCCCCCCCGCAAAAAAAAAAAAAAAAAAAAAGAGAGAAGAAAGGAAAAGAAGGGAAAGGGAAAGAGGAGAGAAAGGGAAAGAAAGAAGAGGAAGAAGAAAAGAAAAGGGGGAAGAAGGAGATCGGGGGGCCGAAAGGGCCTTGCCTCCCAGGCTGTTGACCCACCCCCCCCCCCCATAAAAAAAAGAAGGAAGGAAAGGGAAAGGAAAAGAGGAGATACTGGCGTACTGATAGGGGGGGGGGGGGAGGCTTAGTGGAAATCAAATTCAAACGTGGTTTATTTCTAATTCCACAACGGTGGATTACAAATAATACTGAAATGACATCATTTCCAAGATTTTTCCTCACTTTTTAGTAAATTATACGTTTGTATGTGTTTGTTGGAAAATGACAAATTCCTAAATTTGCAGCAAGGTAAGAAATATGATTCTTGAGATTCATACATGTCAGGGCCCGAAGTACGCCGGGGATCGGGAGCCTCGAGCTCCCTACCCCCCCCCCCCCACCCCCACCCCACTTTTTTGGAGAGAGTGTATTAAAGAGAAATAAAATAGAATGAGAGCAAGAAAGAAAGAATAGTTAACTGCCAGTGTTAACAAATAATGAGGCATCAAAATATGCTCATCTGACCGTGATTAAATGCCTAAAACCCCTAAGCTTCCGTGGGCTCTGCCCCCTAGATCCCACCTAGAGCCCTACGGCGGGCCCTTAGATGCTCATCTGACGGTAATTTAATGCCCAAAACCCCTGATTTTGGGGGGGGGGGCTCCGCCCCCTGGACCCAACGCCAAATAGTTATCTGCCAGTGTCACGATATAATAAGGTATACAAAAAAAATATGCTCATAATGACCTTAATTAAACGCCTAAAACCTCTGAGCTTCCGGGCCGGCTTCGCCGCCGCCCCGGACAAGGATTAACAATCGAGAACGGTACAGCGAATCGTCTTCTTTCTCTCATAATCTTATGAATCGTGAAGCTTCCGCGCTTCGCGCGGGAGGGGGAACCTGAATTCAGACAAGAATTCAGAGGCGAGAACGGTAATACCAATCTTTTATGATTTAATGAAACGTAAAAGCTTCCGCGCTTCGCGCGGGATGGAGGGGGGCAACTTAATTCCGACGAGGATTATTTTCGAGAGCGGTACAACGAATCGTCTTCTTTCTCTAATGATTTAATGAATATTAAAAGCTTTTACGCTTCGTGCGGAAGGGGTAAACTGAATTCAGACGAGGAGTAAGAGTCGAGAACTGTACAACGAATCGTTTTGTTTCTCTAATGATTTAATGAAACTTAAAAGCTTCCGCGCTTCGCGCGGGAGGGGGGGAGATTCTAAATTCAGACGAGGATTATTTTCGAAAACGGTACAACGAATCGTCTTTTTTCTCTAATGATTTAAGGAAACTTAAAAGCTTTCGCGCTTCGCGCGGTAGGGGAGGGGGAACCTGAATTCAGACGAGAATTTAGAGTCGAGAACTGTACAACGAATCGTCTTCTTTCACTAATAATTTAATATATCCTAAAATTTTCCGCGCTTCGCGCGAGAGGGGAAAAAACTAAATTCAGACGAGGATTATTTTCGACAACGGTACAACGAACCGTCTTCTTTTTCTAATAATTAAATGAAACGTCAAAGCTTCCGCGTTTCGGAGGGGGAAACTCGCCCCCCCCCCCTCCCCTGCACCGACCCCCCCCCCGCATTACGTCACTGTTGGTCATCATTACGTACCAATATTTGGCTCGCATAATTTCAAATTTGGGCCCCCCCCCTAAGAAATCCTGGATCCGCGCCTGCATGGTTATTATGGAACATTTTTTTAATAATTTGAATCTTCAGCCACATTATACAAAGCAGTATTAGATCTGTGAATTTTAGGGAACTTGTGTGATGTATGGAAAGCAGTCAACACATTAGTTGTTGCCAGGTTTTCTGTATTTTCTGGCCAGCCCGGTTATAAATAATGTTTTCTTCTAATGACAGGTTAAGTCCCCTGTTACACCTACCCCCACTCCGGGGTCGGAATGACCGCATGCGTGTTACCAAAATGTCCGGTAAAGGGGTACTTAATTTTCACGCACCTAAAATCTGGCTCGTAGTATACACAAAATTGACTTTACACACCGGACTTTTCAAAATGAGGGAACACGCATAACACCCTAAATAACACTATTTTTTTTTGTTTTTTGTTTTTTGGAGGGGGGGGGGGGCGGGGTTAAGCGTGTGCCTCCAATGCGTGTGATGCTTGCTTGTCCAGAGGCGGCGCATCCGGTGGGGGGGGGGGGGGGGGGGGGGGGGGGGGGGGGGGGGGCACACAGTGCCTATTCCCATTTTGTTCAAGTAGCCCAAAGTGCCCCTTTTACATAGGAAAAGTGCTCATTTTATTTTTTTGAAAAGTGCCCCTATTACTTTCCATCTATGATAAGTGCCTCTGTTATTTTCACACGTGTCCCTTTGCCTTCGACATGTTCCCATTTTCCTTGCAATACGTGTCTATTGTCCGTTCTCATAAGTGGCCTTTTAATCGCTAGTTAGTGCCCCTTTTCAGCTACGAGAAGTGCCCCTTTTCACTTTTGATAAGTGGCCCCTTCACCTCTAATAATTAACCTATTCAAATTTGAGATGTGCTCCTTTTACTTGACAAAGGCCTCTTTCCCTTTGTAAGAAGTGCCCCTTCCCCCTTTTAACTCCGATAAGCGCACCTTTTATTACAAAAGAGCTCCTCCCCCTTCTCATAAATGCCCCTCTTCACCTATGAAAATTGACACTTTTCACTCACATAGCCTAAGTACCCTTTTTCATATTTGGTCAGTGCCCCTTTTCAGTTTGATAAGCGCCCCTTTTCCCCTCTGATAATTTCCCTTTTAACAATGATACGTACCTCCTTTTATTTCTAATAAGGGACCTATTACCTTTTCATAAATAAATGAAATGACAAGCGATTTCACCTCTTATAAATTAATAAATCTTAACAAAATCTGATGGGTGCCCCATTTCCGTCTACAAATGCCCATTTACCATTCTCATAAGTGCCTTTTTTCATCCCCGGTCAGTGCCTCTTTTCACGTATAAGAAGTGCCCCATTTTCACCTCTGATATTTATTACCCTTTGTATTTTGACATTATACCTACTTTTTGTGTCCCTTTTCCTCTCATCACGTGCCCCTAAGTCAAAGCGACTAAGAGCTATTTCCCCAAAGCTCGCTCGTTATACTCACTCACATTTATTCAATGATGTAATGATATAATTAGGTAGTTATGTAATTATCATAATCTTACATTTTTCCCTCGCTTGCTTCGCTCGCTCGCAAATGAATATTCAGACCACACACCCAACTGCAAAGTACGATGCTTAAGCAATATCTTGTATGATGTATAAAGAGAAAAAAAAAATATTCAAAGCGTCCCAGATAATGTAATCACAATGTAGGGGTATATACCAATGTCTAAATAATAGTGTTTATTTTCGCCTTGAAATTTCCCTTTGTAGTTGCCCTTTTTTATGTTTTAAGAAAGCGCTCTTTTTTGTTGGCGCCATCCCCCCCCCCCCCACTTTGAAAGTCGCTCCGGCGCCCTGTTGAGGTCTTAAAGGGGAAGTCCACCCTGAAATTAAGTTAGTTTTAATAGGAGTAGAAAAATGAGAGAAACAAGTCAGTGAAAGTTTGAGCAAATTCCGATTAAAAAAAAGGAAGTTAGGATTTTTGAAGTTGTGATCAATCAAACACAAATTGGCAACTCTATGACGTATCATGCGAGCTCAACTTCCATTTGCTCAGTACTAAAAAAATCTAAAATTTCCATTTTCCCTCAAGAAAAATTTCAACCATACATGCACCCTAAATATAATAATTGCAAATATGTTTCTATACTCCCCCTGCAAGGAACAAATATATATTCCGTCATCAATAACGAAGAAAACATGATTTTATGGAATATTATGCACAAAGCAAATGAAGGAGAGCTCGTATAATAAGTCACAGAGTTGCCAATTTGTATTTGATTGATCACAACTTCAATAATTCATAACTTTCTTATTTTCATTCAGAATTTGCTCAAACTTTCACTCACCTGATTTTCTTATTATTCTGCCTCTATCGAAACAAACTTATTTTGGGGGTGGACTTTCCCTTTAAAGTGTAACATGGTCTTAAAGTGTAACACGACCCCCTAGCTCCTGAAAAAAGAGTCGCTGCGTGCGCGCGGCGCTTACGCAGCTAGCTGTAGTTATCTGCGCATGCAAACAGCAGTATACTGCTCGCTTTCGTTCCAGCTAACTAGCTAGTTGCAGCAATTGTTTGACTAAAGTGTATCAATTCAACATTTAAAGCTTAATACAGACCGATAGGAAAGATTATGCCTTACATGAGTAGCTTCATAAGCTTTCTTTTATCCCATAAAGAGAGAGAGAGAGAGAGAGAGAGAGAGAGAGAGGGGGAGAGATTCAAGTGGAAAAGGCCGAAGATTGTCAATAGGTAATTTTCGCAAACTCATTGGGGAATTAGAATCTGCGGTTCGTGTGCAAAAACGAGAAGTTACTATAGTAACAGTTGGATGACCGCTGAGGCCCTAAAATCTAGAACGGGTTTTGGCCAAATCTATGGTCGTTCTCATTGACAACCCAAGTGAATCAGCAGCCAATCAGAGAGCTCGTATAGCTGGCCCGCGCCCGGGAACTTTATTCTTCTGATAAAATGCAGACGCGATCGACATCAAACCAGAGACTAGAAAATGAATTCCAACGCGAATGGCTCTTCGGTGAGTTTCTTTTATCGATTATTGTTTCTTAACTATACTATGGATATAACATGAATTGTTTTAAAATTGGACGATGAATTGTTGAAAGATGATAAAAGCCGTTTTGTGGCTTGTTCGAGACAAGTTGTGCTACTGAGTAGTACACTAGTCGTGCGGTATAGTCCCGTCTGTACGGTACTGTATTGCATGCGCAGGGCCAGCATTGCATTGCATTGCAATGTTGTTGTGTATTGCCAGTTTATCGTCTCTGACTCAGACTCTGTCTGAGTTCTTGGTTGGTTGGTCCTCCAAAATACTCGTCTGAGTTTTAACTGGAGGTGCGGGTAAGGTGTTTTAATTTGTAGATGGGGGGGACGATAGGGCAATTTTGAATTTGACAGGGTCAGTGTGAGTGATCGAGTGTTAACCTACTTCTAGGGCCTAGATGGACCTACAGTACAGAGTACAGTAGACTACTAGTACTTGATGGCTAATAGCCTACTACTAGATCTAGGCTAGTACTATAGTAGACCTCTAGTAGTACTAGTAGGCCTAGACTAGTAGTAGACTCTAGTCTAGATCTATAGATAGACTATAGACTAGATCTAGGCTATAGCCTCTGATCGTGCAAAATGGTGATTTAGTTTTAGTTTATAAGGGCCTAGACCTACTCTCCTCGAAATTGTGTCCTGAATTAAACATCCCTGAAAATGTATTGTTTGCAAGTGTTTTCCAGGCTAGCCTAGATCTAGGTCTAGGGTTTGTTTGGTTTTACCCTCACATTCACAACACAATAACTCAACTCGGAGTCAGAGTCAGACAGCTCACTCTCTCTCTCTCTCTCTCTCTCACTCAATCTCACTCTCATTCTTGAAAGGAATCTAACTACTAATTAGTAGAGCAGGGGTACCACAAACTTCACCCCTGCTCCTGTACCAGACTGATTTCCTTAGTCTACTGTAATTAAATAAAATGTAAGAAAAAACACACACACACACAATTATGTCTGCAGCATCACAAAATTATCTTCTTATGCCCCACCAGTGCATTCAAACTTATGACGTTAAACTAATTGTGGAAATTTTAATGTCAGAATGTTACAAATTACTTTCTCATCTTTTTGTTACAGCAGGTTGGCGAGGTGGTGCCTATCGTGCCTGTGAAAGCAGCAAAGCCTTCGAAATCTGTGAATCGGTATGTTTTCCATTACGTGCATCATGTTAAATTATAGCTATAGATCCATAGGCCTACTAGAATTAAATATAATTTGAAATTCAATGATAATGATAATGTTCTTACATATAGCACATGATACATAAGCATTTAAGCAGAAAAGGGGTTAGTCTATACAAAGAGAAACAAACATGCATGAATAGGTATGTGTTTGCGACTCAAAATCCTTTGTACAATCGTTTTCCACCTTTTTTGTCATAAAATTATAACGCCAAAAATATAATGCATTCATGATATGATTATGATGTTTTTCATTATTACAATATAGATAGGTCTACACATGTATAGTACCATTTAACATGATTTCAGAATTCCATTTTATCTAAATCATTGTTTCATTTTTCATTTTTTGTACCGCAGAATGTCCTGGGACAACAACAGCATAAATATATTAATAGGGGAAGTGGTTCTGGCCAACCCCTTCCAGTACAAATACAGAACTGGAGATTGAGCCAGAGCATGGCAACAGATGGCGGAAGGCATGCAGAGGAAGGGGTTGAAGGTGGACTCCTGAGCAGTGAGAGACCGAATCCACATCCTTAAAGATTAAGTGAAGGCAAAGAACTATTTGGAGAAGGCTGCAAGTGGCATCGTAGTAGAGGAGACAAGGAGGAGAAAGCTATCAGAGAGGCGATAGAGCGGATGCTACAGGAAGAGGAGGACATTGAGTTGGCACCAAAGGAGAGAGGAGATGAGCAAACGAAGAAGGCGGAAGGTGAATAGCTGAGAAAGAGGGCCTGCGAAACATTAGGAGAAACGAGGAAGAGGTATTTTTCAGAAGATTTTTCAAATTTAACATATTCTACGTGTACTCCCTAACACCCCCTCTGCTCCCCTCTCAACACACATAAAACCTACACCATTACATTACAAACTAACAGTTATAATTCAACATGGTCGAAAGGAAAACAAAATTACAAATGACTAAGTAAAAATTCCATTATCGTTTTTAAAAAGCCGTTAAAAATCAAGAGGGCACTCTCTAAACACTTGTGCATATATTGTGGATGTGATGTTTTGTAGAAATAGTGATAAGAAAAAGAGATTTACAACAACTATTTAGAAACTGGCTGGTTCAAAATTATTAAGTAATTGTGGGGCCCCACAATAAAGCTTATTGTCATTAAAATTGTATGCTCTTTCGAATTTGACACTCAGTTTTTTATTATCTGACAAAAAAACTATTTTGTGTAGCGCCCTCTATACCAAACTCAACTATCCCTTTAACCCTTTGATTACTGAATTATCTTATTCCCATTGGCTTAACACAGGGACCACCATGTTCCCGTAAGCAATGGGTTAATATATTTTTAGTATTATGTAAACCAACATTCAGTTAGTGTTCTTCATGTACAACATGTAGATTGACTTTAAAAACTCCTTTTTCTTTTATGTTTTATATTTCATGTGAGATACAAAGGTGAATGCAGTACCCGCACCACATCATGCAGGCTCTTGAATATCTTACATAGTTTAAAATTGACACTCCCCTTTTCTCTTATTTTTAATATACATGTAGCATTTTAGACACCAAGGCGAATGCGGCACCAGAGGAACAGGAGAGACAGCGAGCTGAAGAGATGGAGAGTAGACGAGAGGAAGAAGAGAGACCGGGAGCTGAAGAAGCAATCCGAGAGCGTCGCTTTGAGCTTATGCAACATCAGATGCTGCATCAACAGCAACAAGCCCTCCAGCAACAACAACAACAACAGCAACATAATCAACAAATGCAATCAATGATGATAGCTCTCATTAAATCTTTAGAAAAGAAGTAAAGAACAATATCTTATTTTCCTCATTCATTTCAACTGAAATATGTTATTCAAGATATTTAAAATGTATTCAGTTTCTAACAAAACATTACAAATCAATTATAAGCATTTAAAACAAATTTAAGAAATACATGTTGGAAACAGAGGGGTCCACTAAAAAGCAATGCTTGTACAAGTGTGAACACCTTAAATGAAACTTAGGAATAATGAGTTTGAGTGACCAACAGTGAACATTTTACTTTGTCATAATTTATTACAAATCTGTCTTTTCAGATATATAGTTCTATTTTTACGGCTGCAGGACTTGTTAACAATAACATTCTTGTTAAAATATTGACTTTGGCAGTATTGCTAAGTCTGTGTGTATTAAGTTATATGGTCTTCCTAAGAGTTACCCATCTGCCATTATGATATGTACATGTATATGCCAAAGATACATTGTGTTAACTTGTATATATATGCAATTCAACAGCATCTTGCCTTTTTTTATGTGTGTGACTTCCTTTTTGCTCCTTAGTTTCATTTGTATGTAGTTGGTGCTATCACATTCTTTCTATGTACCATTACCATTGCCAATGTTATATTCCTTTCATTCAACTGCAAATCTGGATACCATAATATATGAAATCAAGATATTTCACCTTGGTCTTTAGTAGGTGACTTTGACCGTGTTTACTTGTGTTGTGCATATGTTATGTTTTCACAATGCCAGCTTGTGTTAATTTTATGAAGGTGTTGAGGCAAGTATGTCGTTGAACTTGATACGTTTACGTGTTTAGCCTTCAGAGTAACTTGTTAACATAGTTTTGTTTAAGTAGCTACGCGAAGAAAATCTCATTTTTGAAATTATGCATCACTAGAGAGCTAGCGGATTATATATATTTATTATACAAGTTAAGATCCAAGTAAACCAGCTATTACATAAATCATCTCAGGATCAATACTAAATAATATTTTTTGCGCAGGTACTTCAAATTCTTCAATAGATATTTGGTGTATTGTAAGTAAGTTTATGGTACATGTAAGTTGATACTTATAAGTGATTGAAAGTTCAGGTTTTTAGCTTATTTCATGTATCTAACTTTATGGTAATTTCATTTCATTGAAATGAAATAGGTGATAGAGGCTAGAGTGGAATCATGGATTGCACTGTACTGCAGTTTTAGTATTACTTCATATTTTCTATTCATTGATGTATTCAGTACCAACAGTAACACAGGTTTATACAGCTAATAGTGCGTATTTTGAAAACAAATCTTTTACACAAGTTCTATTGAAATAGGTGATACAGGGTGGAATAGATTGTAGAATAGATACTTTTAATACAATTAGTATTTTGCGTCTACTCAGGGAGGTGTTTTGAATCCCTGGTCTACTCACTGTTGTTTACCCTTTATAATGTGACCTTTTTAATGCAGGGTTTGATTAGGCTAATAGTGGAAAGAAAGTGGCATTTTATGTAGTTGTGGTATTTTATTTATTATGTATATATACTTAAATATATTTATATATATATATATGTGTGTTTGTTAATTTTATTGAGAAATAAAAATTAAAAAGTACTTGATTTTAATATTTTTTCTTATCACAGGTGTTTCTATGTTTTCAAAAAATCTTAACTAGTTTGAATGCAGGTTGTAGATAAAGAAATGATCTAAATACAATGTTAGTTCCAGCAGTCCAAGCTAATGAAGCTGGAAAATCTTGAAGGCGAGGAGGGGGTGGGGTCATACCACCAAAGGGGGCTTATTTTCTTTCAAAATTGTTCACGTTTGTACCTTGATCGTGGCATTTATGCTCAATAATTTCAAGAGTATGAGTAATGTGGTACAGTGTGTGTGTATACTTATGTGTATGTGTTGGGGGAGTGAGCAGGGATAACTAGTCTCTGCTCAACCCTTTGGATTTGCAAATGATATGTGCAAACAATATGAATTTTCAAATTCAAGTACCGAATCGTGCAGGAGCATTCACACAAAACTACCCAAATGGCCAGCACATTATATCCATACTGGAACTGGATAGCAAAAACACACTTACAGAACTGTACATAAATACAGTTACACACTCCACAACACACCACATTCTTTCATCATCCAGTACTGTTTTTCTTTTTTGTCCCTTTTTTTTGGGGGGGGGGTAAAAGAAAATGTGTTTTTGTAGCCATTAATTTCAGTTTAAATAAATTTATTTTACAATATCAACACTAGTTCAAGTTCAAGTTCAGTTTATTTCACATCCAATAAAAAAACTTACAGCATTATAACATTCAAATACAATTACATCGAAAGCATAGGCTGCCATAACTGCATCTTGCACTCGATGTCAATTCGCCATGTTTGAGGGAGAGGGATATTCCCAAGCGATGATGACGTCAGCTACTCTGTAATTATACGTCCGCATTCACCGAAGAGCGAAACCGCTTATTGTAACCAGAGCGGTCTGTGTGCGCGGCCGTAAACCTGAGTGCTCTGATTCCGCGAAGGTTCCTTATGTTGGTGAGCGAAAACTCGCTATTACCGCGAAGCGACTGCGCTACATGCACAGCAGGCCGTGTTAATCGCCATTCGTTATGGGGGGACAAAGCCATCACCTACCACGTAATTCTGGCGTGTTTCATCAAGTGACTTCAGTCTTAAAATAGCAATACCAGTTGCCATTAGAATTTGGAGATATTAATGTTTCTGTTTACATCTATCTGGCACATTTAACTTCTCTTGATGATGAAAATATGCCGGAAAGTAAGCCGCAAAGAAAAGAAAACAAATGAAAAAGAAATTGAAGAAACAGAAGGAAGGAAAGGAAGAAAGAAAATGGGATCAGAAAGAAAAAAAAAAGTAAAAAAGAAATAAATATAAATAATAAATGAATAGAATATAGGAAAAAGAAACCAAGAAAGATAGAAATAAATTGAAAGAAAATTGAAATGAAAAGAAGACGAAAGAAGAAGGGAAAGGAGCAAGATAATATTGATACCATGTCTTCACTTCTAGTCAACCTCTTGGTTTTTTTTATAGGCCTGGCTACCCCTTTTTTCCCTTCTTTCCTTTATCTTTTTCTTATTTTTTTCTCTAATCTTAAAGCAATCTTGGTTTCTTATATTTTTCTTTCCTTACTCGTATACTGTGAAGAAATGATTTCATCCTATGGCGTATTTCATCTGGATTGTATGTTTGTCACAAATTTATAAGTGCCCCTTATGATATCTGATAATAGCCCTTTTTATTGTTTACCTTGACACGCGTCCCCTCTAATAAGTGCCCTTTTACTTTTTGATATGTGCCACTTTCCCCTTTTTAATAAGAGCCCCTTCCCTTTCTCATAAATTCCCCTTTGACACATGCCTCCTTTTCTTTTCTTGTAAGTACCCTTTCCCTCCTAATGGGTGCCCCTTTTCCCTTTTTTATACGGCCCCTCTCCTTTTCATAAATACCCCTTTTCATCTTTGATAAATGACCCTATATAAAATCTTATAGGTTCCCCTTTTCCTGCGACAAATGCCCATTTTTCATTATCATTAGTGCCCCTTTTCAGGTGCGAGAAATGGCCCGTTTTCACCACTGATTACTGCCCATTTTACTTAGACACATGTTCCTTTTCTTTTCAAATAAATGTCCTTTTTCCATATGAGTGCTCCATTTTCATTTATCCATAACATGTGCCCCTATTTTTTAAGCGACTAAGAGCAACTCTTTTTCTTTAACCCCCCCCCCCCAAGCTTGTGTCTACGCTAGATCGCATTTAAAGTTGATATAAGTGTGTTATATAGTTTTCAGTCTTTCATCATCGTGATTAAAATCCCAAGCTGTAATTTTTCGCACAGCGACCTCACTTATCTTGAAACTTTTGCTTCCATGTCATGTATTCAGATTGTGCAAAGTAACATGATGCTTAAACAGTAGCTAATTGGACCATGCATGTTCAGTTAAAAGAGTCTCCGAAACAAATATTGAAATCATCCCTCATTATTGTGACCACAATGTAAACAGTCCGACGACCTATTCACTAGACTATACATCACCTCTTGTTGTATTGACAATTAAGTGGCTTAATTTGTTCCAACAGAATGGTGTATCGGGCTAGTATTGTTCATATCTACAAGAAAGGTCAAAATACCGAACCCTGATGATTATCGAGGAATCACACATAATTATTGTTACGAAGAAGTAATCGGCAGATAACAAGGGTTTCAACAACTGATTTCTGAAGACTATAATCTAAGAATTTTCTATTTTATTAGTGCATTTATTGATTTTAAAAAGGCCTTTGATTTGATTGACAGAACATCCTTATGATTAAAGAAGTTGTTGAGGCTAAGTGTGAATGGCAATTTCTTTTTCTTTCTATCATTATTTTATAAATAATTAAGTCCTGCGGTGCAGGCAGTGGCGTAGACAGGTTCGTTCACCTGGGGGGGGGGGATGACTGGTCTGCCAACGCTAGTGAGGGCGCGTAGCGCCAGAGCGAGGGAGCGAAGCGACCGAGCGGGGGGAGGGTGTGGGAGGGGGGTGTCCCCCCTCCCACGGTAGGGAGCTTTTGCAATTTTGAACTTGAAATCGTGCAATCTGATGCATACTTAATGAGGTAAAATAACACACACAAGCGTGCACGAACACACACACACACACACACACACACACACACACACATACTACGCCTTGAATGGACAGACATACATCGACAAGATCTACACACCGTGGCATACGAATACAGAATGGACTGACACATAGTATTGCATATTGAACCACACTACGTATTTATTTATCTCTGTGAATTTTGCTGTTACACCTCTTCAGAAAAAAACCAATGTCAACTGTGTACACGCAGGTATAGTCTTTGTTGTCTTGATAGGGGCATGGACCCTACTAGGGTCCATGATAGGGGTATGTGGTTATGAATGAAAACAGCCTCTGTGGCCATTTGTGAATAGAACACATAAACAACAAACAAATAACGATTAAACTTTGAACAATATGTCTGTTCATTATAAAGCATAATGAATACGTACATACTATGTTTTTTTTTACCTCAAAGAAACAGGCATAGTATCCATAGATGGATATTGGCTGGCGGCTCATTAACATACAGATACAAAAAACATAAACAGTATCACTATGATCCATGGAGTAACAATACTGCTTTGTAAGTTTGTGAAGAAATCGGAACCATAACGGCATTGCATCGTTTCAAATTAGGGCATTATTTACTTCTATTTGATCTCAGTCTTATAATAATAATAATAATAATAATAATAATAATAATAATAATAATAATAATAATAATAATAATAATAATAATAATAATATAATAATAATACAAATAAAAAATAATACTAGTACAAATAATAATGCTAATACTAATAGGTTCCTTTTATCTCGCATTTCAAGACAGGGTAAATTCACACTGCGCTTTACACGAAACAAACTTCTTTAAACATTTCAAACTTATGTCTTCATGCATCAATCAACATACTTTAAATGAATACAAAACAAAGTGCATCTTAAATAAAACAAAAATAAATAAAATAGTTAACAATACAGAAAAGATGTAGCTGCTGCAAGCTTAACAACAAACTAATGTATACCAGTCAGTCCTGATATCAGTATTAGTGTAACAATAGTCATATAGTGGGAGCATGAAGTTGAACATTCATGATTATACATAATTATATATGTTTGTTTGAATAATACTTGTTATAAAGATAGTAGTATGGTACTCTCTGTCACGAATTATTATGTATACTGTTGTATCACATTCATTTTCTATTCTGTTTTAGAATTGACTTTCACCGTGTGAATGCGGCTAACAATAAACACAATTACAATAATGATGAGGATTATTATTATCATCATCATAATTATTATTATTAATTTTATAATTGTTATCATTATTATTATTACTATTATTATCATCATTATGACTTATTAAGTAAGCAAATATCATTCCCCAAAACCTGGGGGGGGGGGGGGGGATGATTGTACATGCCATCCCCCCACCTTGTGAGGTGGGGGATGCATCCCCCTCATCCCCCCCCCCCGTTGTCTACGCCCCTGGGTGCAGGTGATGGAAAATGGTATTACAGTACTACCAAAATAATCATAATTATGGTTTAGTGAAGTTTTGAGTTTTAACGTATAAATCAAATCAAGATTTTCATATCAAGTTTTTTAAGGACAATTCTCACCTAACTGTACATGATGTATGGTAAAACTGGTCGGGGATTGATATTGAACCATATATGTAGCACAGGCGCGTACGCAGGGGGGGGGGGTGAACCCCCCATTTGGTATTTTTATGTGTGTATTTTGGAGGAAACCCCCCTTTAGTAATTTTTTTAATTTTTTAATTTTTTTCAATTATAAAAAAAAAGAAAGAAAATTATACCAATGGCTGACCTAAAAAGTTGACCTTACCCCCCCCCCCCCGAACGGAGCAAAATATCAACTTTTCAAATTTCGAGACCAAAAAAAGAAAGAAAAAGAAGTGTCCTCTTACCCCCCCCCCCCCCCCCCCGCTTATTCAGCGGTTGGCTGAGTCGTTGCGAAATTTTCGGCCCGATTTAAAATGTTAACCCCCCCCCCCCCCCCCCCCCCCTTGAAGAAATCCTGCGTACGCGCCTGATGTAGCATGTAAAATACATGTAAATGCACGTGGGATTGGAAGCTTAAAAGTACCGACGAGATAACGATATTATAATAACTTAGGGCAAGAAGGGGAGAAGACAAGTTAACAGACGAAAGAACGAATTGTTGGAATTCGGCAAGTCGACTTATTAAAGACAAGAATGAAGACGAGATGACGGTTTGTTAAAACTCGGCAAGTTGAATTGTTTTTCACGAGAAGACGAGATGACAAGTTAATGGAACTCGATGATGTCAATTTGTTTGGAACTAGAAGACGAGTTGTTTTAATTGGCTCGGCAATTCAACTCGTTTGGAGCGATGCCCGGTCAAAATATGAATTGGCAAATGTCCCGATTATTTGATTTTCCTGTACTTGCCATGTAGCTTTAAAAAAATAGCAAATTTTCAAGAACTATTATGTTGCAACTTTTCTCAGACACCAAAACAAACGAGTGAAGAATGTGGTTTTATGAAGCGCAAGAAAAATAGAATTGTATATTATACTCGTAGAATAGTAAAAAAAAAAAAAAGTATTAAAGGTAATACAAAGTTTTGGTATGGGGTCATGAATTTGGTTCAAAATAATGAACATATTGGAAGCATATGCGATCCTACTATATTCAGTGATCGTTGTCGCGGTTGAAATCGAGTCTAAAGTTATGAAATTATGAATATTAAACTATTTATGTTGTATAGCTCCCTCTCAAGGTCAAGATATTTATTAAACCCTGAAACAATGTAGACTAAAATCGACCGATTAGCTAATCCCGTTTGGTAATTATATATCACAACTACATATTCTGAAATTGTCAGGATCGCAGCTTCCATTGTACGGCTGTAGGCACTATTTGAAATTTATCAAAATTTATCGGGAGCACTGGTAAATTTTTATATTCAATTTTTCTCGAAAGTAGAAGTGTTTTAGGGGCTAATATTTTTGGTGCTTATAATACAGTCAAACCTGCTTTAGTGACCACCTGTCTACAAAGACCACCTGTCTACAAAGGCCACATTTGTTGTTTCCCTTGAAAATGGATTCTCATTGAATCATGTACTAAATGAACCTGTCTACAAAGACCACCTATCTACAAAGGCCACTTTTTGTGTTTCCCTTGGGTGGTCGCTATATAGACAGGTTTGACTGTACATCCACATGCAGGGGCATCCATTTATATACAAATCACTATACGAATCACTATCCACCCAATGTTCGAAATTTCCCAAAACTTTGTATTACCTTTAACGGCTTGTCTTTTAAAACTGTTTATAAAATGAATGAATTGGTGCGCATTTTGAATGTACTATGTATGATATTTGTAAATATATTCTAGTTCAGATAGAGTTAATAAATATATAAATAAATAAATGAATAAATAAAGAAATAAATAGGTAATTATGATAATTCTATACTATTACCCAGAGCTGGCATTTTTTTTTATTTACCCGGCCCCAAAAATGCTCCTTTGTACGTAGGGGAAATTGTCCCTTTAACTTCAGAAAAGTGCCCACCTTCCCTTTTCTATATTATGCCCTTTTCATGCACCTCAGAGTCTGATAAGTGCCCCTATCCTAATCTGTGCCCCCTTTTTGCATTAATTAATTCCCCTTTTCCTCTGTAAAAAGACAGTGCATGCATCTTTCTTCTACTAATAAATGCCTTGGCCACTTACCGGCCACTTACATAGGAACTTAGAGTGGACCATCGCGGCTCGGTAACGACAGTAAGGTCAATACATATTTGTTTTTTAAATCTACCGTATCGTTAGCATTTTTGTTCGGAATGTTCAGTTTATAGTGCGTATGGAAACCAATGCATTCATATGGATATGGACATGGCATGCATACGGAATTATGCATTCATAGCATGCACAGACGCCGCCACGCGCGCAAGCTGGGATCGGAAAAACTTATCATATCATCGACCGTACCGATCGCGAGCGGACCGTTACCGAACCACCTCCAGCTAGCAGCAGCCAGGTCAATTTTCAGTCTAGACCGAAAACTTCAGTCTCTCTAATCGTCGGTTGTTCCACTGAGACTACGTCTGGCTCCACTAGACCTCCGTCAACAAATGTCAGTTTTATTAAAGAAATGACCCAAATCAGACGGTTATTTCTGTCTATTTTCAGTCTAGATTCTAGCTAGGCTACATGCAAGCTGTCTCGTCCCAATGTGCTGCCTGCATGCAGAGCAGAGGAAGCTCCCGTGTTTATACTGTGCAGCGCATGCCTCATCCAGGGCAGTGCAGTAGCTCCAGGTCATAATAGAAAATGGCAAATCATCCCGCAGCAGTGAAGAGGAGAAAATTGTGTGAAGGTACTACAGATGTGTGTATATCTGCAAGATCTCGCAGTTACGGGAGTGATGATGACATTGCCATTGGTCCTGGTACGTCTATTGGTAAGGTGCGCTATTAGTAATGCATTGTTTGTATGAATTTATAGTTTCCCTTTTTTAAATAATCATACAATTTTTGCTAATATTCAACGTGGTTTCCAGTGGTTTCAGATAAAAAACATAGCACTTCTCAGCATAGACAGCAATAACCATCTGATTTGGGTCATTTCTTTAATAAAACTGACATTTGTTGTCATTCCCCAATACAGATGGCAACCCAGAGATGGGGATGGCTATGTTACTATAGACTCTATGTACATATTTTCGTCCACGACATTTTCTCCCCGATTTTCTTTATTTAGATCTAATTTCCTGATTTCTAAATCAGATGTAAATTAGGTCGGTATGTCATTTGTCCTAATTACAGTTATCAAAATTTGATAACTCAATATTAAATTGATAATTTACGGACTTACTTAGATCTATATGAATTATCCAATTTGTATCTCCGAACGTTCATGCACTCGGAACATAGGCCAAAATATTTCCAGGTCAACCTACCAAAACATAGCCAAATGGCCAATCAGAGCACTCGTTTCGTGGGAGTTCGTTGGTCAAGCTGGGCTTACTCGTACGTAGCTACGGTAGCTATTGGACGTTCGAAAAGAAAAAATGAATATTCATCAACTAACACCAAGACGGATAATGTTGACGACGAGACTTTCTCGGATTAATCATTAATTTAGGATCTAAATGAGCAAGCTGTCGTAAGTCAAATAAGCTATATATATGTTATTTTTAATTTGTGTTATAATTGCAGCAGTTATGAGGATGTAAAGAGTGAAAATCTTGTTGCATATCTCATTCATCGCGGTCCGGTCGAACCGAACCATTTGTTCCGTACAGTGCCTCACAGAAAGAGGTCCCCAGACTTCAGTCTCTGTAATCGGAGGTCTAGTGGAGCCAGACGTAGTCTCAGTGGAACAACCGACGATTAGAGAGACTGAAGCTTTCGGTCTATTCTCAGCACTACTCATGCTTAATAGGCCTAGATCTAGTACTAGGTCTAGACGGAAATAACTGTCTGGTAGATCTATAGTTTTGTCAACATTCCCCATACACAGATGGTAACCCATACGCCTCGCACAACCAGGGGAGATTGAGCCGATTTTGGACCACTTTTGGTACAAAAACTTTCTCCCCCCGTTTTTCCTAATTTAGATCTAATTTTCTGATTTATAAATATTTTTCTCTTTTGTAAAGGTATCAAATTCAAAGTTGTCATTACCTATTTCCAAAGGCGAAATTTATGGACTTGTTATCCAATTTTTATATCGGAACCACTGAAACGGTACGTTCATGCATAATTCAAACTGGTATTGGTAATAGATCTAGACACTGGCGGATCAAGGGGGGGGGGGGAAAGGAAAAAAAGGATAAAAAAGAAGGGAAAAAAAAAAAGGGAACAAAAAATGAAGGAAAAAAAAAAAAGAAGGAAAAAAAAAAGAAGGAAAAGAAAAAGGGGATAAAAGAGAGAGAGAAAGAGAAAGAAAAGAAGGGAAAGAGGAGAGAAAGGGAAAGAAAGAAGAGGAAGAAGAAAAGAAAAGGAGGAAGAAGGAGATTGGGGGGGGGGGGGGCCTCGCCTCCTAGGCTGTTGCCTCCCCCCCCAATCAAAAAAATAAGAGAGAAGGAAGGAAATGGAAAGAAAAAAGGAAAAGAGGAGATAAAGGGAATTAAATTGGGGAAGAAGAAAAGAAAAGAAGGGGGTATTAGTTGCAATTTTCCCGCCAACAAGTTGTGGATCGGGGTGGGGTGGGGCAAAAGGCCCTTGCCTCCCCCCACCCCTGCTTAAAAAAAAGAGAGAAGGAAGGAAAAGGAAAAAAGGAGAGCTAAAAGAGACTGAAAAAGAGGAAGAGAAAAAAAAGGGTGAAAAGAAGGGGAAATAGATCATTTGCGGTTAGTCCCGCCAACAACGTGTGTAAAAGGGTGGGGGCCGAAAGGACCTTGCCTCCCCCCCTAGCAAACCTAAAAGAGAAGGGAAGGGAAGGGAAGGGAAGGGAAAGGGAAAGAGGAGAGAAAGGGAAAGAAAAAAAGAGAAAGAAGAAAGGTAGGGGAGATCAGCTGCGATTTTTCCACCAACAAAGTGTAGATCAGGGGAGGGTGGGGGGGGGGGGGGGGGGATTTAATCATGGTTTATTTTGAATTCCATAACGGTGGTTTACACATAATGCTGAAATGACATAAATTTTCTCATTTTTTCTAATTTTTTAGTAAATTATACTTTTTTATGCGTTTGTTGTAAAATGACAAAAAAATCATGTAAAAACACATGGTTTTTACCTTTTTGGGGAGTTGGTCCCCCCCCCCCCCTGGCGCTCAAGGGGGGGGGGGGGTGCCAATTTAAAATTTTTTGAGGACCAAAAAAAAAAAAATGTGCTCACTACCCCACAGGGGGCGGTGGGGGCGGCCCCCCCAAAAAAAAGCCGGCCCAAAAAAAGAGAGGATAGAAAAGGAAGAGGACGTAGGAAGAAAAAGGAGCAGACAAAAAACATTTTTGAAATCCAGACAAGGATTAAGAGTCGAAGACGGTACAACGATTGTCTTCTTTCTCTAATAATTTAATGAAATGTCAAAGCCTTCGCGCAGGAGGAGGGACTGAACTGAGACAAGGATTAAAAGAAGAGAATGTTACATGTACAGCGAACCGTCTTCTTTCTTAAATAATGTTAATGAAAGGTCAAAGCTTTCGCGCTTCGCGCGGGAGGGGAACTGAATTGAGACAAGGGTTAAGAGTCGAGAATGGTAATACGAATCGTCTTCTTTCTCTAATAATTTAATGAAACGTAATAGCTTCCGCGCTTCGCGCGGGTGGAGGGGGGGGGGGGGGTAAACTGAATTCAGACTAGGATTATTTTCGAGAACGGTACAACGAATCGTCTTGTTTCTCTAATAATTATATATGAAATGTCAAAGCTTCGCACTTCGCGCAGGAGATGGGGGAACTAAATTTAGACAAGGATTAAGAGTCGAGAACGGTACAACGAATTGTCTTTTTTCTCTACTGATTTAATTAAACGTAAAAGCTTGCGGGCTTTGCGCGCGCGGAAGGGGGGGGGAACTGAATTTAGACGAGGATTAAGAGTCGAGAACGGTTTACAACGAATCGTCTTCTTTCTCTAATGATTTTAAAGAAAAGTAAAAGCTTCTGCGTGTAGCGCGGGAGGGAGGAGGGGAAAACTAAATTCAGACGAGGATTAAGAGTCGAGAACGGTACAAGGAATCGTCTTCTTTCTCCTGATGATTTAATGAAACGTAAAAGCTTCAGCGCTTCCCGCGGGAGGGGGGGGGGGGGGAAACTGAATTCAGACGAGGATTAAGAGTCGAGAACGTTACAATGAATCGTCTTTTTTCTCTAATGATTTAATTAAACGTAAAAGCTTGCGCGCTTTGCGCGCGCGGAAGGGGGGGGGACTGAATTTAGACGAGGATTAAGAGTCGAGAACGGTATACAACGAATCGTCTTCTTTCTCTAATGATTTTAAAGAAAAGTAAAAGCTTCCGCGTGTAGCGCGGGAGGGAGGAGGGGAAAACTAAATTCAGACGAGGATTAAGAGTTGAGAACCGTCTTCTTTCTCCTGATGATTTAATGAAACGTAAAAGATTTCGGGCTTCGCGCGGGAAGAAGGGGGGGGGGGACTGTATTCAGACAAGGATTATTTTCGAGAACGGTACAACAAATCGTCTTCTTTCTCTAATAATTTAATGAAAGGTCGCCCCTTCCTGCACCCCCCCCCATTACGTCAATGCTGGTCACGATTACGTACCAATATTTGGCTCGCACAGGCGCGTACGCAGGGGGGGGGGGGGGGGGGGGAGGGGGGGGGGTTTAACCCTAAACCTGTGTTATTTTTATTTTTAATAAGATTCAGTGTAATATTGCTGCCAAAGTGAATATGAAGACGTAAAGAGTGAAAAAAATGGTTGCATATATCTCATTCATCTTGGTCCGGCCGAACCGACCCATAATCTCAAATTTGGGCCCCCCCTAAGAAATCCTGAATCTGCGTCTTGATCTAAATGACATGACCCGGACGATATATTTCTGAGTCGACCTTCAAAAACAATGCCAATAGCCGATCAGAGCACTCGTTTAATATTGGGTTTATGAATATTCAATTATCACTGTGTCAAGACGGGCTGACTCGTATGTAGCTATTGGACATTCGAAAAGAAAAAATGAATATTCATCAACTCAAATCAAGATGGCTGATAACAAATCATGTTGTTGACGTCTTGACGACAAGACTTTCTCTAATTAATCATTAATTTAGGATCTAAATGAGCAAGCTATTGTACATGTAATTCAAAATAAATATTTCTTTGTTATTTTTATTTTTAATAAGATTCAGTGTAATATTGCTGCCAAAGTGAATATGAAGACGTAAAGAGTGAAAAAAATGGTTGCACATCTTGGTCCGGCCGAACCGAACTATTCCTTCCGCACAGTACCCCATCCGATGTACTTCAGTCTATGTATACTGGCTGTCAGAGGAGCCAGATGCAATCTCAGCGAAACAGCCGTCGATATCAGAGACTGAAGCTTTTGGTTTAGCTGTACAATAATATAAAAAGTTTATTGTCTTTTGTTGATAAGGTGTCACATGCACTAGACTGAAAGCAATTTTGTATTTTGAAATATCATATAAATACATCGAGTATTTCTAAAGTTTTTTTTTTCAGCCCCATAATTCTAAGACCCCCCCCCCCGATTTTTGGGCTGCTACCTACTCCACGATACATGTACCTATATCAGTCAACTTATAGTATTTTATGTTATTTTCTTGTATTTATCTTGTCATTTTAGCATTCTTTTGTTGTATTGTAATGCAGCCCATGAAATATATGATACACAAGAGTATACCGTGAATAGTCTATGTAACAATTTACTGACCAAATTGTACATTTGAGATTCACATTGATTGAATGATCAAACATTGGCCTAAATGCAGTTTTACACCGGATGCCTAAAACTGTCATTCCGTTGATTCTGTTAAATAGTTTACAAAGGAAAAGCCCATGACATTTTAGGCACCCGTTGCATATATCATTTAATTAAATATGTTTGATTGTTTTTTCTTTCAAATTAACTTTTACCTTAAAGATACACTCCAGTACTGGTAAAAAAAAAAAAAAAATTCTCACAGAATCAAACAAAACTTACACTGAATGTTCAAGATTACAAATAAATGACATGTGCCAAACAATTTTGGAAGAAAATGTATACTGGCTGAGTAATGAGCATAGAAAGACAAGGAAATCAAGGTAGTACTAGCCCCGACACCATGTGTGTTGTCCCATATATAGCTTTCTATGTGAGTGCTTGTTACTTTACCAAGACTCGGTCAAATTTATTATGATTTTGATGACTCCAGAACCTTGCAGTGCACACCAATACTTACATGCTACATGATCAACTGTTTCTGATCCTTTCCACACCTTTTCTTTCACAATGCAATCGCATTACCAGTACTAAAGTTTATCTTTAAAATTTCTGACACACCATGTTGTTAATCGTTATTCATTTTATTAGCTGTGGTAGGTACTGGTAGAGCACTAATCACATATAAGGCAGATTTTGCCGATAAAGAAGAAATAAAAAAACAGTTTTCAATGACATAATGAAATGTGTTTTCACATTTGATAAGCACAATTTTCTATAGAAAGTCTTCAATCTTGAAAATGAAGATCTGTTATGATCCATGGTGTACCAATAGTCTCATCCTTGAAGGATGACACTATGTTACAAATGTATACATCATCATGTAGCCAAAAACTTTCCAAACCCTCTTACTTATTTCACACTTTTAACAGGTTCAAGCCAGATTATTACCAGTCATGATGAGATGAGGATTATACCAGTTCTTCCTGATCATGTCTCAGCTCCAGTTTCCTTAGGTATTTATTCACATCATTTTATTCAAACTTTTCATTTAATGCCACCAATGGTAACAAGTCATAATTTTGATAGTACATGTATGTGAGATATTATTGCCTAAAATGAAATTACGCCTTAGACTAATTTATACAACGCCTACTAAGATTCTTGCAACCTCATTGGTCAATTCTTGATCACATGACATGCGCTAAAAGTACCATTGAACGGCATCATTCTCCAGCCGTGCAATTCCCTTAGATCCTTTCGCACCATTGCACTCTGGCGTCACTAACGATGTACAAAGTATATTGTGAGCTAAGTGACGTCAGAGTGCAATGGTGCGAAAGGATCAAACAAAATTGCACTCCACGTCAAAAAAAACATAAATCTTTGTTTGCGCGGCGCATGGTTTGCTGCCTGCTTAATAGTGCGCGCTCACTATCGGCAATTTCATGAATTAAAAACAAACAAAAATCGCTGAGATTTAGGCCCAGAAAAACTGTTTTAAGCCCATTAACGTCCGAGGTGTTGTATAAAACAAATAGTGAATGGCCTTTATTCGTGCAATGGAACAAGGTTTTGCATTCAGTGAAAGATGAAACGCTCTATTTTGAATTCTCTTATCTTTCACCTCGTGCAAAATGTTGTACCATTGCACTAATGGCGCGTGCCGGGTTGCTGAACTTGTCTCCAAGCTAACAGCAATGGTTGGCATGGTAGCCACCTTGCATGCGCCCGCCGACTTTACCTTGTATTTCAACTTGTACTTAGGAGTTGGTTTTTAGTTTTTTTTTGTGTACTTTTCCTCTGAGCAGCAGCAGTGCAGCTGCCCTCCCAATAACTTTCTAAACCTTAAAGTGCCATGTACTTTCTCCCTCTTTTCCTTTCTCTCCTAATTCTCGCTTACCTTCCTCCAATTCACCTCCTTCTCTCCCTCTCTCTCCTTTTCTTTTTGTTACTTTCCTTTCTTTCCCCCTTCTTCTTTCTTTTCTCTTTCTCTATCTCTTCCTTCTGTCTTCTTCCATGTATCCTTATGTTTTATGTAATTTGTATTCTATGTATGTTATTCATTTCATACTTTTGTATTTTGTATGCCTTTGAATATTTTGGTATGATTGTATTTATATTATAAATTTTGTATAAGTTGTGAAATGTTTATGTATATGTATCACCTGGGAGGAAAGTTTCTTCATTCTTTGGAAGAAGACAATACAATTATAGTCTACCGGGTATTCTATTCTATTCTATTCTAATGTTTTGTCTTTTCTTTGATATATATTTCAGTTTCTGTTTATGCTGCAGCCATTCTCGACAAGAAGAACACAAGTACTCTACTTAGGTAATTGGTTTTGTAATCAATTTGGCCTTTATGAATCAAGGAATATATTTTGTTGTATCCCATGGTAACTATGTTGTATGTGTAAGCAATTCTGGTAGTGTGCTTGCATACACGCTAGTTTTTCCATATATAATGCTTTTTAAACTGAATGGATACTAACATGTAAACAGAATATATCCATTCTCTTCATACATGCACATACATATTTATTGCACTTCACTCCGGACATCTTTAGAGGGATACTCAGATTAATTTATTCATTAGAAATTGCTTAGTTCATTATTATTATGTTATCTGATGGTAAAACAAGAATAAACTGGATTATAATTCCTAATTTTAATTTTCCACTAGGCAGCTTTCAGATGTGCATCCTTTAGACAGCTTATCACACATCAAAAGAGTACGGAAGCAGACTTTGAAGAACGGGAGTTATGAAAAAGGTATACTGGTATTTATTTTTCATGATGTTAAAGAATTGTGGTACAGTGTTCCCATAAAACAGGGCGATCCACAAGGGCTTAAAACATGTAACAGCGACAGGTTGGAATTTGAAAAAATATATATCACCAAATATGTTTGACAACTTTTATCATGTTAAAGGAAACCCAGACAAGAAAAGTACAAAACTGTGAAATGTGCAGGAACCTATAGAAAAGCATATACAATGTAGCCATTAACAACTGAATTATTCATACTCTTTGTAAATTTGATGTGTTTTTGTGTTTGTAATTCGAACAAGACAAGTATGTAACAAGAAAGAAAGGTGGACTGGTTAAATTAGGACTTTGTTGATAATTTTAGTTAGATGTACCTGTAAGCTTTAATATGTCATATTCTCAAGAAACAAATCACATTTTTCATGTACCGGTACTTAAAAAAAAGTACAAACCTTGATCGAGGATATGAATAATTTACTTGTTATAAGAAGTTAAACAAAGAAAGGATGAAGATCATTGAGCTTCACAGATTTTTCAATTGTTTTCACCCCCAGCTGAACTGCAGATCATTCTTTGTGAAACCAGTAAGGTAACACTGCCCATCACTGATGAGGTATCAGTCTCAATGATTCTGAATGATGACATCGACAGAGATCTCCTAGGGGAACCATTTCTTGCATACATTCCTAGTGCCCCACCTCAGACCAAAGCTCAGTATGAAGAGGCATCTCAACACTGGCCTACAGCATACCATGAAGACAAGGAGTAAGTGTTTCAGACTGAAGATGGGTGTCCCACTGAGAAAGGGATATTCCACATTTGATGGATAATGTCAATATCAATTCTATGCAGTGACTACTTTTGATTTATTAGGTTATTTGATTTCATACACACTTCAGACTTGAATGTTCCACTATCGGTTCTTTATATATATGATTACCTGCTGTAAGACAACTAAGTAGGCATTATGAAAGTCATAAGTCTCCATTTTCTTTAAATGAAATATAAAAACATGTACCCTATACAATTATGCCACATATATGTGTGTACATAACAAATTATGAAATAAAACTGATTCTTTATGAAAAACCAGTAACATAAAAATCTTACCCATAGTCCAAAGCAAATGGTCAAGTTGCATAAAAGGTATTGCCATGGAGTTGTCAATTTGCATTTTGTGATTACAACTATAGAGGGTTCTACGTGTACAGAGATGCCAACCAGTACGGATTTCCCGTAATTGGTACGGAAATTAACGACCATTACGGCAGTACGGAATGTTGTCTAAAAATTACGGATTACAAAAAAAAAAAAATGATTTTTTTTTTTTTTTTTTTTTTTTTTTTGCGCATAGGGATCTATCGTAGCAAGTGCTGTGCATTATGGTGGCCATCCATGAGAAAGATGGAAAAGTATCAAGTATTCTCTTAATAGAAGCCAATTTTTCATTGAAAACTTATGTGTTGTGATGAACTGAAAGTCAATATTTAGCAACTTTGTGGGAGTAAAATCACAAAAAATTTCAGATAATCATGCGCGCATGCGTCCGCCTGCCATTCTTTTTAGATTCATGACGCCGCATAGGAAATTACTGATTTATTCCCCAAATTACTGATTTTGAGCCTTATGATTACTGATTTTCTGTTCTGGAGGTTGGCATCTCTGCGTGTATCTTATTTTAATCTGTTTCTCAATTTTCTGATTTCATTAAAACAGATTTCTAATAAGATCCAGTTGGAATCCCCTTTTACAGAATGATGCCCCTTTGACTTCATTTGGAGTATACTTTTTGTTCCCCTGTAAACTTGCTCTCTAATAGCAGTAATGAAAATGGTGTACTCTGCCCTACATCATTGATGAGAATGATTTAATCAGTAATAAGACTGATCTTCATACTGTTTTTATAAATGAATTTCTACAAGGCTCAGCAGGCTAATATCTGGAGAGCACTTTTCAGCACTGGACAGGAAAAATGTTCACACAAACATCCTAACAGCTGTAAGAAAAGCTGAGGAAGCCAAAGTGAATGGAAAGGTGGGAGAGATGTTACTATTCAAACCATTTATTTGAATCAGTTGACTTTGACAGTTCAGGCTGTGCTAATCTACCCCATTCTTGTACGCTTCATGATGAGGTTATTTTTTATTCTTGACTTGGATATTTTATTTCATGTCAAGAAAAGTAACTGACAAAAAGTAGACTTCCAGAACATGCTGTTAAATTCCAGTTAGATATCCTGTCTGGAAAAAAATAAATAATGGTCTTTGATCATAGAAGTAAAGTTGGTGTTTGTACATGTAAGCCTCATGAATATAGGGCAGCCCATACTATCTCACCAATGAGGTAAAGATTTTATAATGAAATTTATAATATTCTGCTACATGGCTTTCAAATTTATTGCCTCTGTCTCGATGATTATCAAATGAATACAGAAATGGCTTAAATCTCTGTTGTGCTTGACTCTTGTTCCTGATTACATAAGATAAGATTTGATACAGCTTGGCTCTGGATGGTAGTCAGTTGGGGAGATAATGTATAAATGTAGAGAAGACTTGAGTCTGGATAAGAATTTCCTCAAAGAAATTGGTGTAAAAAAATACATGTATGATATGTATACACTCCAATATTTGATGTTTGCATAAATTTCATGCTACAACATGTATTGTGTATTATATTTTGCTACTGTTTGTACAAGTAATGCAATTCTCTTTCCCCCTCTCCACCCCCTTTCCTTCTAGGCAGCTATTGGAGCATTGGTTGTAGATCCAAAATCTGATACCACTCTGGGAATGACATCATCCGTTCCAGGCATAGGGGAAAACTCACTCCAGCATGCTGTAATGAAGTGCATTGACCTTGTGGCTCATAGTCAAGGGGGTGGAGCTTGGTCCATTTGTCCAGGTAATATCTTTGCCTTTATTCTGTTTTATTTTTTTTCTTCATCTCATTTTGTGCTTCTCTTTCTTCTTTGTTTATGTCCTCTGTTTCTCAATATTTACCTGTATTTAAAAGTGTTATCAGACGTTATATGTTTTTAGTCATTTCTATTTAGAATGTGAATAACTTGGAGGGGTCTGCAATTTTTTTTCATTTTTAATTTGCAAGAGAATAATTTGTAAGAAGAGATCCATTGTTTCCAATAGTCAGTCTGATACAAATATAAACGGTGATGGAATATATGGGTGTCTACTGTATGTTATTATACTGAAAGAAACTTGTTTAAAAAGTGTCAATTCTGTACAGAAAAATTGTAAATCCTTCTCCAGAAAATCATCTCTTAAAATGATGTACTTTAAAGGAAATTGAAACCCGTAGAATAGAAATTGAAACAAAATCACATGGACTATTTACATATGGGTTTCAATATCAGCCTGAAAGTAAGCTTTAAGCAAAAATACACATTGAGCTCTGTAGGGTGAATTGCCTTGGAGATGTTTGGCACTCTATATTGGTATTTCCGGTCATATTTTCATGAATGACTACAGAATGTAGCCATGTCCTGTACTAAAGTTTCACCCATAATAAGTATGAAATGGCATACAAAATTGATCATCCACTGCAATGAGCTGACATTACCTTCAACATGAAATTATTTTTGGATGCAGGCAAAAATGTAAGATTTGGCCAAAATTGAACAGAAAATTAACAGGGGCCACAAATCGAGTAACAGTAAGCATCTAATCTCAAGTGGAGGGGGAGGAGTAAAATGGTAGAGAGCGACTGTCTCTCCTCTTTTGGGATTCTACCATTTTCTTGTGCAAATGTGATATTTAGAAGGAAACCTTTTGCAGATTTTTCAATGTACTCATACTAGTTTTCAATTTTCTGATTACTGGTACTAAAAAGAGAGCTGCTATGAGTCCGTAAATGGTGAATGCAGTACCGATGAAACACCCTATCTGTGCACAGGATTCGACCTCTATATCACACAAGAACCATGTGTAATGTAAGTCAAAGTCTCTTCATTGTGTATTTAAAGGGAACCCAACTGTGATAGCAAATTGTTCCGAAAGAAAGAAGAAAAATCAGAGAAGTAGATTGAAAGGTTGAAGGAAATCAATCCAACCTTTAAGAAAGTTATGAAACGTTTAAAATATATGGGAATTTCAAATTGGCTGAATCCTTAATGTCTCTGTGATGTAGTGCTGGGCAACTCTTCCATTTGTTCCAAAACACAAAATGACTGAAATATCAATTTATTATAACTATAAATGTTATATATTTGAGTAGTGCCCCAAAGGACAATGCGCTTAAGAGAAAATCAGAAGTAAGTAATATTTTAGTACAAACATTTTATGACAAATAGGAGAGTTGACTGCGACTACGTTACAACCCCCTGACCACATTGCTGATTTGAGATTTGTATATGGTATATCTGTGATTCATTTCTAGTTCTCGCCATTTGATTTTTTTTTCTTTCTGTGTTTGCACAAATTGATTCATAACAAAGGTTGGTTTGCCCTTTATATTGACATTTTGTAATGTAAGATGTCAACAATAAAGCAGAAATTTTCATTTTCATCGGGTGATCCTGTTACTGTTCGTTTTAATATAGGATTCACATGATTTAAGTTGTTCATCATAGAATATACACCTGTAGGTCTGGTCAACTTCTGAACAAATTATTTTATAACAAATCTGCTTGGTTTTTTGGATGATAAAAGTTCTGTCTGTAAATATCACTAGTTGCCCCAATAAAAGAGCCCATCTGATTTCACTTAGTGAATAGGAGTCTACATGCACATTCATGAGTGTTTATTGCACAAACAGGTTCTTGTGGTGTAGCTTGTATTTTTTGAGATCAATAATGTAATTGACATTCATATCAAATACCTTTTGAATTGGATTGGAAATAAACGTTATTTGTTAGAAACACACTAAACCCATGTGCGTTGATAAATTATATGCATTTTCTACAGGTAATTTGACGTTTGATCCGGGCCTTATTTCATCAAAGGTACAAAATGTCCTTAGTGAGGTTTATGGTTCCCATTATGTTCTAGGTTAGGTTTATGGTTAGAATTTGTATTGGTGTTGGGTCAAGGATTACAAAGCTACACATTCGGTTAGTGTGGGGCTGGAGCAAGTGTCATACAACCTTGAACCTTCCTACATGTAAGCGATTACACACAACTTTTTTTTGGTCTCCTTTAATTTCCTTGATTTTGTTCTACATCTCTATCTCTTCATCTGTCTATCTCTACATCTGTCTATCTCTTCATCTGTCTATCTCTCCATCTCTATCTCTTCATCTGTCTATCTCTCCATCTCTATCTCTCCATCTGTCTATATCTCCATCTCTATCTCTTCATCTGTCTATCTCTCCATCTCTATCTCTTCATCTGTCTATCTCTCCATCTCTATCTCTCCATCTGTCTATATCTCCATCTCTATCTCTTCATCTGTCTATCTCTCCATCTCTATCTCTTCATCTGTCTATCTCTCCATCTCTATCTCTCCATCTGTCTATATCTCCATCTCTATCTCTTCATCTGTCTATATCTCCATCTCTATCTCTTCATCTGTCTATCTCTCCATCTCTATCTCTTCATCTGTCTATCTCTCCATCTCTATCTCTTCATCTGTCTATCTCTCCATCTCTATCTCTCCATCTGTCTATATCTCCATCTCTATCTCTTCATCTGTCTATCTCTCCATCTCTATCTCTTCATCTGTCTATCTCTCCATCTCTATCTCTCCATCTGTCTATATCTCCATCTCTATCTCTTCATCTGTCTATCTCTCCATCTCTATCTCTTCATCTCTATCTCTTCATCTGTCTATCTCTCCATCTCTATCTCTTCATCTGTCTATCTCTTCATCTGTCTATCTCTATCTCTTCATCTGTCTATATCTCCATCTCTATCTCTTCATCTGTCTATCTCTCCATCTCTATCTCTTCATCTGTCTTTCTATGCTGATTCTTTATCTCCAGGTGTGCTATGGCCCTGGTACATTCTCGTATACGTCGTGTCTTCTACATAGACAGTCACCCAGATGGTGCTTTAGGGAGCAGATACAAACTTCATGCAGAATCGTCTCTTAATCATAGATACCAAGCCTTCAAGGTTGTTGACCTGTGCAGTGCCGAACAACAGCTTGATCACAGGTAGCTTTGAGATTAGTTCAGAAGTCTTCAAATATTTAAGCAAGTCCAAACTTTCTTGTCCCATACATGTATGTTACCCACCACATCTGTGAACTTAGTATATCCGATGATTATATCAAGGCTTGAATCTGCAAATCTCCTATAAAATAATATCTTTGTATAAATTTATGTTTACTATTCCATAATACAATTGATATCCCATCCATTGGACCTTGCCGTTGACAATCTTCATACAGTCAGCTGCATTTCAGCTCTCTGGAATTAGAAGTAAGAGGAAGCCCCTTGGGAACCGGTATGTCCTTTAAATGAAGTTGGGAGAATGGCTCAAGAAAAAGGCTGACCTTAACAGCAGCAAGGTGTGGATTGGGATAATGGTTGTCCTCCTCCTCCTTATCGTTGTCTAGTAAATACGCTGTTGGACTGTAGATTATATGATTCATGTTTTGAGTCCCGCTGCGGCACTTATGACCTTTAGCAGGATGTTAATCTACATTTGCCACTACTGGTTGGAAGGAATTCCTTGCATACTGTAAATGGTAGCCTAGTAAGCAGAGCCAGGTATTATTGGAGCCCTTTGAGCACCTAGCATGGTGAATTTGTTTGCTATGAAGATTTCCAATACTATAATTATTTTCATAATTATACATGTACATGTGTGTGTAAAACAATGGGGATTGGATGCATTAAACTTTAGTTCACCATTATTTTATGCTAGGACGATTAAGCATTTTAACAATATTTTAAAGAATTTTGTAATTTTTAGTAGTATATTAGATCATGATATATCCTTCATGTTAAAAAAAATCAGTGCTATCAACCTCTCATGATGATCATTTTGATGTTTGTTTTGTAATTTTTCCCCTTTATAAATAGTATTTTGATATGAAAATTAATGTTATGTATTGTGTATGAAATAGGTTTATATATTGGGATTTGTTTTTGGAAAGTTAAACAGAATGATATGTTATCATGTAGTGAATTGACTTCCTTTAATTGCCTCTTGTTTTCACATCCATTAGCGAATGCTTACAGACAATTTGCCATTCCTAATGTACATATAACTTAATAATAAAAATGAAAATATATATTTTACTTCTTTATAATTCTTTTTGCCTCTCTTGTCATCCATACGCTGAAGACCGATTTCTCACCATGTTGTTGAGTCCTTTACCAATAACTGTGAAAAATGTGAATTGGAATTTCAATTGTTTGCCTGAAATTTGAAGAAAAATAGGTGCTTTGAAATATGTAGTCAAAATAATTTTTAATAAATTCAAAAATAATTTCGACTATAATTTATTCAAATTATAATTGTTTAATATTCAAAACAATACAAGAGTTTCCATGTTGAAAGAGTGAAACTCGGCAGTTTATAACTCTTCAGTGCCTAAATAGAGTCATGCAATTTTTCACTTTTGAGTTCAAAATTTCCGCAACGAGTGATGCCTCTGGTTCAATTATATATAATGTAATTGACCTAGGGAATGCTTGGACTGAGCAAAAAATTGAACTTTTAATACATGCTCAACCTAATGTGATTTGAGCTTTACTGAAATGTAATGTTTTGTACACAGCTCGATAAATTACCACAGCATTAAGTTATTTATGATTAAGAAATCATTAATTTGGTTGAACAAAATTTCCATGGGCATCAATATCAAATTGACAATATGTCGGTCCAACGATACACGTGTAATCAGTGCTAGAAATAAGATCAATAAAGCCTACATGGAGTACCAGAAAGATACAACTGATGAAAATCGGCAGATCTACAAGCAAGCCAAGCACAACCTTGAGGAAGCATACAATGTAGTTATAGAAGAAGATCTTGATAGTAAACTAAAAGATGTGGAGAGAGCGCATGCCAACAGTAAACATGGGCAGAGCTGGAGACTCATAAATGACATAACCGGAAGGAAAGCATCCCCGAAAGGGCAGTTAAAAGGAGACACACAGAAAGACAGGGTCATAAACTGGTTCAACCACTTCAAGAATCTTCTTGGAAGCCCTTCTGATATAGATGATGAGGATGAAGAAATTCTGCCTATACTAGAGAGTCTGAACATCAAGACAGGGCCATTTGATCTGAAAGAATATTCAAAGGCAATAAAGTCACTAGTAGAAGGGAAGAGCTTTGGGGAAGATGGCATACCACCAGAGGTTCTAAAAAGATGTGACCTGGATGAAATCATTCTGAGTTTCTGCAACAACGCTCTGATCAATGAAGAAAAGCCCCACCAATGGTCCATACTGAACATTGTACCAATACCAAAGTCTGGAGACCTGAGCCAAGGAGGAAACTATCGAGGGATCAGTCTAAGCTCCATCGTGGCCAAAACTTTCAATAGATTGATTTTGAACAGGATCAGACCTGTACTTGATAGTCACCTGAGAACCAACCAAAATGGATTCAGAGTTGGAAGGACCACAGTGGGACATATTTTGGCACTTCGCAGGCCTATAGAAGGAGTAAAAGAAAATCAGCTCCCGGCTATTATCACATTTATTGACTTTCGCAAAGCCTTCGATACCATCCACAGAGGCAAGATGTTGAAGATCCTTACTGCATATGGCATACCAGAACAACTGGTGAATGCTATTGGCAAGATGTACGAAGACACCAAAGCAAAAGTAATATCACCTGATGGAGAGACTGACCTCTTTGAAATCATGGCTGGTGTGCTTCAAGGTGACACGCTTGCACCTTACCTATTTGTAATAGTCCTCGATTATGCCTTGCGAGCAGCTATAGACGGCCATGAAGAAGAACTTGGATTCCAACTAGAAAGAAGGGGAAGTAGGAGAGTTGGTCCAGAAATCATAACAGACCTAGATTTCGCCGATGACATAGCCCTGCTATCTGAGGAATTAGAGGAAGCCCAAAAACTCCTGAGCAGGGTGGAGACATCGGTAGGCAAGGTCGGGCTCCGGATGAATTCAGGCAAAACCAAGTTCATGTCATTCAATCACAGGGGGATCATCACTATAAAAACAAATGATGAAATTCAGTTGGAGAATGTACCTGATTTCAAGTACCTGGGAGCACTGATGGTGAGCACAGAAAAAGGTGTGAAAGCTCGTAAGTCAGCAGCATGGAGAGCGTGTAGCAAGCTTGGAAGAATCTGGAAATCTTCTCTTCCTAGGCACTTCAAACAACGTTTGTTTGTTGCTACAGTTGAATCTGTGCTTCTATACGGCTGCGAAGCATGGGCAGTTACAACAAAGCTGGCAAAAGAATTAGATGGTTGCTACACCAGACTTCTTAGAACAGCATTCAACGTGCACTGGAGCCAGCATATGACCAATAAGGAGCTGTACGGGAATCTACCAAAAGTATCAGAAAAGATCAGGGAAAGAAGACTACGTTTTGCAGGCCACAGCTGTAGGAACATCAATGAACCAATATCTCAGCTTCTACTCTGAAAGCCTAAACACGGGAAGAAGAAACCTGGAAGACCTCATCTTACTTATACAGACCTACTCAAGAAGGATACGGGACTTGAACTGTCAGAGATAAAAGCAGCCATGTTGGACAGGACTGTGTGGATGGCCATCACAGCTCGGGCAGTTGACCCGACTTAAGCAAGTAAGCATGTCGGTCTCATGGGCTGTCAGCTTCATGGCCTCTCGGTCTCTTGGGCCATATTGGGGTCATCCCAGTAGCAGACAGCCCATGAAACCACAACAACAAATTTATAATAATAAATGAATACAAAATGAATATAGAAAGAAGCATGTCATTCATATGGTAGTCAGTCTCAAAAAGTTGTCAGAAGGCCCACGAGACTGACAATGTCTGTCTAGTGGTCTTTTGGTTTATTGAACCCTCAAAAACTTGTCAGAAGACCAACGAGATTGGCTTTGTCTGTCTAGTGGTCTCTTGGTTTCGTGAACCCTCAAAATAAAGTTGTGAAGAGGCCTTTGAGACCGACATTGTTTGCCTCATGGTCTTTTGACCAATTACAGTTTACACTCTACGATCACATACTTTTCCACATTACTGGATATAGTTAGAAAACTTTGTTTCACTATTCTAAAGAAAAAAGAAAATCCACATTAACTATGATTTATGACACCTCAATCCAAACTTTATTTAGAACATTAAAAGGAAAATGAATTGACGATACATTATTACCTAACACTTTATTGTACATGTATATTTGAGATTATGTTCATCTATTGCAAAGAATAAGATGTACTTTGAAATACATGTACAACCCAAAAATTAAATTCACTTAGTTACATTTTTTATAAAATTATCAAGAAAATAGCTCTGCATCAACAACTTCAACAGCATCATTCTTTTTTGTACAGATAAGCAGCTTTTTAACAGAGAACAACAAAGTCAAAGTTTTGACAAAACAATCAAGGTGATAGAGCATACCATAGAAAATGTTTAGAAAATACAATTTTTTTTTACACTGAAGTCATGTGAGTCTTTTTGTTTATAACACTAAACATTTCATTGCAATACAGTACCTTTAAAAGCATATTTTCTTGTGTATCCAAATAGAATACGTAACTATACAATATGAGACTGTACAACAACTTTCTAGTATATATTTTGTAGGCACAATTAATATATCTGTTCCTCGAGGAACCAATGAACTCAATTCACGACCAGTTGGTATTCGGCTAATCTCGTAAGCTTGGACAAATAATTGCTCTTTTTTTTTGTACAGTGCTGTAATAGTTAAAAAGTACAATTATTCTTACTCGGGTTGAATGGAGAAAACAAAATGGAAAATCTGTTTGTTTCTTTTAGTCAATGTCTTCCTTTATGTATCGATAATGATTACAGATGTAAAGTGCTTAACACAGTTATGAGTACCATTATAGCCCTAAACACGGCCAGCTCATAATGTTTGCAACATCTCACCTCGGCCCCCTCCCCAAAAAAGAAAATGATAAGTTCATGGAGGGCAATATGAGTAGACTATCACAATATTTGTGTACATCTTATCAGGTTCCTCATTTAAATATAATGTATGGAGCTTCCTTCCCATTCCAAGACTACAAAATACATTTCCATTCCCACCTTTTAAACAGTTTTATCAGGCAATGAATACAATTCATTCATAAGCGTTCTTCCTGTGTATTGGTTGATAAAACGAATATTTTTTTTGCTTGTGAGTAGTTTTTCATACCTTTCAGGTCTACATCAACATACTGGCAATCATCAGTTTATTGATACATACACTACATTTTGATTAGAGAAAACACATCATGGAAACAAGCTTTAGAAGCCTGATACCCAGGTCATTTGTGTCATTCAAATGTAATGTAAATGTAAATGTAATTAGAATATTAAACAGTGTTCTATCAGATTTATTAAAACTCTCTTAAAAAATAAATGTCATATTGTTTTATCCTATTCTCTATTTATCAAATAATTTCCACTCGTCTATATTACATTTGGTAAGGTCACAAAATCTACAGCAAAGTTGAAAACTTCAAGAAACTATTTATCAGTTTTAATGTCTTTTTCTGCATTTTAAGGGTTTTGTTCGCTTGACAATCTTTATGTTTCATCTTTTTGACAGATTTAACTTGTCCAATTAAATCATCAAATGTTATTTTTCCTGAAAAATGCTAATCTCGCTATGTGTTTTCAGGAATAACTTCATGCAGAAAATTCAGGACGGATTTTAAGACATTTTGAATGTAAAAAGTACATTAAAGCCATTCTAAACTTTTCTATTAATAAATATGTACAATATTATATCCAAATAATTTCCACTCGTCTATATTACATTTGGTAAGGTCACAAAATCTACAGCAAAGTTGAAAACTTCAAGAAACTATTTATCAGTTTTAATGTCTTTTTCTGCATTTTAAGGGTTTTGTTCGCTTGACAATCTTTATGTTTCATCTTTTTGACAGATTTAACTTGTCCAATTAAATCATCAAATGTTATTTTTCCTGAAAAATGCTAATCTCGCTATGTGTTTTCAGGAATAACTTCATGCAGAAAATTCAGGACGGATTTTAAGACATTTTGAATGTAAAAAGTACATTAAAGCCATTCTAAACTTTTCTATTAATAAATATGTACAATATTATAGAAGAAAAATTACCAGAGCTAAAATTGAGAAAACTTCAATTATTTTCAATTGAATGTTTTATTCAATCAATAGTTATTTGTAAAACACAAGTCTGTTACTTACTTTTGCAAACACTGATGGTTTAGAATTAAAATTTGACTGTGAATTGAATAGGCAAATTTGTGCCTGTTATAATAAATTTTAAAATAGAAACAGCTTTTGAAATTTGAATTTATTTAGGTTCTATAAGTGATGAGCATGATGACCACTGAGAAAAGAGATGTCAGCCATGTCACACAGCTACAAGTGAGACCCTCAGAGCTGGATTTGTTGTCGTTGCAATTTGACTCAGTACAACAGGATGTGCAACTGGTAACGTTATTAGCCATAGTGCAGTAAGGTCCACCACCTTTATGCAAGTTTTCACATGGCTCATCTGTGCATCCACGCGACACAACCGTGTGTGATGAGTTCTCATAATGATCAGTCTGCAAGAAATGAAGAGAGTTTTTATTATGACTATAACATGTAACTTGATCTTTCATATTCAGTTCTGTAGAATTTTCATTTCAACATTTGATTTCTTGAAAATATGAATCGCACGGCTCTTTCCTTTATCTAGTTAACTAATGTTTTTGTCCATTGGTTTTTATAGACATCCCACTAAAAAAATTGTTCTCTTGCTTTGTAATGTATTTCATTATTTTTTTTCTTTGATAAGAAAAATTAAAGCAAAAGAGAGAAGAAAAAATTAAAACCAAAAAAAAATTGACAAAACTATCATTTACTCCGAGTATATGAGGACAAAATAAATAAACAGATGAGACACAACATAATCTTAGGTGAAAATTAATGTTTACTTTGTATAAATTCATGTCTTCTGTTTCACAACATCAATTTAGAGATATATCCTCATTGTATTTTCTGTTATATTACCAAACTATAAACACATGCCAGATCAACCCTGTGAAGAAAAATATATATTTCAAAGTATTTGAATACCCAACAACGCTGTTCTTCATAGCATGTAACAGTTGATACTCCGGAACCGCTTGCAAGGTCATTAGCAGTAGAGCAGACATCCGATATGGAGTTAGTCGAACAAGAATAACATTGAAGAGTCTGCAAGGAAAAGTTAATGCACATGGTATTAGTTTCAAAAGTATTGTAAGAATGTATTATCTTATCTAATTATCTTATATTAGGATTAGTGGTCAGCATTTATCGCTAAAAATGCACAAATACTATCCCTCCCATGTTCCACATCAAAGGTGAACCCAAACCACATTAATATGGGATTGTGTTTATAGTGACAAAAAGATGTACACAGAAAAATTGTACAATATTTTCTAAGCAATGAATTTCTGTTTTTCTTCAGAACAAAATGCTTTCGTTCAGAATATCAATCAAATTTATTCTGTAGGCAACAAGTCATTGCGTTAAGCACGGAGGAGAAAGTTCTTTCATAACAAATCTCTTTCATAGACCTTCCTAACAAAGAAGTATACATTTTTAGATCATTATATAGTAAACACAAATACATAGCCACACATAACATGTACAATTATTGAGAAAGCCTCTCCCCATCAAGCTTTAAAGGTGAAATTCAAAGAAGATCACAAATATGTCAACTAATGTATCACTAGAAACTGGTAAGCTAACCGATGGCCATCGGACAAGTTTTAGGTCAACTACATATCGGGTGATTTATACAAATACAAATACAACCACCTCCATAGCAGCTGGGATATATGTCGCCCAAGCAGACGACATCACATAGAGAATGAACATTGTGGCGTAACCGGGCTCTGCCGGGGTAGCGTTCTGCCTTGCAGTCTCTCAAAACCCGGTTCACGCTCTCGACAATCAATTATATCTCTCTGTGGGCTCTCACAAAAGTATATCGTGTAAGAATTAACGTGGACAGCTCTCATTTTACTCACTCCCGCAATCACTGAATGTCTGACAGGACTAAAGAAACAACACTTGCACAGTATCTGCAGTTCAAGTAACTTTACTCGTTCCTGGTAACGGACCTGTCGCAACGACAGCCCGACGCTGACTCACAGATCACAACTATATAGAACCTAACTAGCTGCCCCAACGGCAGCTAAGCGCTGACCATAGAGATATATACTTAATAACTTGGTAGTTATATATCTCTATGGCGCTGACTCACTAACATCTCACGATGTCCACATATATATTTCACAATTAACTATAACGCCCTCTATGTCTCACTAAATTACTGGGCTAGTTATGCTACAATATTATTAATTGCAAAGCTATTACTTCTCTAATTATAATGAGTTTAGTGTATAAAAATGCAATAGCATGTCAAACCATTCAAAAGGGGATATGACCCGATTCTGATAACTAAAATCTTTTGCTTGTAAATACACAGGATAAGGGTTAATTAACAATCAAAGAAACCAGACTTTCAAATTTAAAAGCCCCGGAATGATATTAAGGACGGCATTTGTTCCCTCTTGAAACGCCGAACATACCCCGGTGTGTGCAGCTGAATATACAATGGCGCCTTGTTTTGTTTACAAGCGACAGATTCCTTTATTTTTGTATCGCTGCATTTGTCATCAAAATAAAACCATGTGCGGGGTTTAGAGTGAGGCAATAGATTTTACATTTAGCCTGACGGTAGTGAAGTAAGAGAAAGAACTCAAGAGAAGATGAAAACACAGGCACTGGAAATGTGTGAGATGTCATGGGACATCGTCTGCTTTTGCAAATCATGTCCATACTGTGATCTCACACATCTCAGCAGCGTTCGGAGAGCCCTTCAGGTGCTATGCCGGGGCTGTATTTAAGCGTTTTGTAATTTATAATAATCATTGCTTCGAATGTTTCCAAGCATTGAATTTTGATAACCTTGTCGAATCAAAGTTTCAACTTTGCAATAATGAAATAAAGTTAGTTTTTAAAATCAATGAATATCTACTTTAAAAGATATCATATTTTTCACTTACCCCTTGCATTCTTGTGGCTGGGGTAGTCGCTGTAGTGATGGAAGTTTGATAAGGTATCATTAATATGATGTAAAGACATGAAATGTTAGCAATACATAACTATGTTTCCATACCTTGCTAGGTCATTCAGATTCAAGATTCAAGGGGGTGGAGATGGTTAACGTTTCCAATACCAGAGTCTTGGAGGGTCAGTGAAATGTCAAAGTTGTGAGTGGATATTTTATAAAAAATATGTTAAAATGAGGATCGAGTAGTTCCTAACCCCAAACTTGTTCTTTAAAACTATGAATCAAAAGATCAAATTAAGTAAGCAAACTAAATCTATCCGATGAATTCGTCCGATTTTTTTCAAAATTCATGGACTTAGAAGAATTAAAAGTCTCGAAAACAACTTTCGTTGTCTGACAATCCTTGAAGAGCAAAAAAAGCGAGATATAGGCGCCGCTTTTCCGGTGAGGGCGGCGACGGCGACGGCGTCAACATCAAAAACTTAACCCAAGATTGTATCTGTAAACTCCCTTATTCAGAACCTTTATGATAGCCGTCTTGAAATTTGTTTTTAAACAAGTTAATCCATCCCTTAAAATTTTCACTGCCCCTATTGGTTTATATTGTTGGGAAGCAATTCTCTGTCACACATACATACACACTCTCTCCTAAGGACAATTTTATAGAATAAGGGTTTGTCGTGGGAACGATTTCTATCTGTTCGCTTAAGGTTCAGGACTCCAAAACTCCAAATAATGGCCCAGAGGGCCCCTGTCGTGTTGCAGGGGCAGAGGCCTAAGTTGTCAGTTGTGCATGCAGGGGAAGGAGCCATCGGACGCTAGAACCTTCAAGATTGCCCTCCCGACGAGTAGAAAATTGTTATTTTCTTCTTAAAATTCAAACAGCCCCCCATTCACTTCATTAGAAATTGTCTCTCTTTCTCTTTCATAGAACTGCATTTAATTTTTTGTTTTACTGTTCTACTTTCATCTGAAGTCTTCGTAGGCACACGTCGAACCTATTGCAACTCATCTGCAATGTAATCTGTATGTTTAGAGTTAAGTTTCATGTTCTTCTTTTTATTTTCCGTCTCGTTCCCTCCCAATTTCCTTTCTCCCTCTTTTTTTCTTCTTTGTCTTATCTTTGTTTCTTTTTACCCTTTCCCCCTTTTTCAGGCCCCCGCTAAAGAAGGCGGAGTATCGCGGTCGATACACCCTTTCCCGATCCACCCTAGCTTTATACATTCATTGCACATATTTCAACAAATTGAGGTGGGTTGAGGTTTCCATCCCAGCTAGACAAACAACTACTTGAACATTTGTTTCACTGAAAGGGTATATTCTAAACTAATTAGCAAGTACCATCAATTTTAAAAGTATCCTATGATGAGAATGAAAGCTCTATTTTGCACGAAAATAAGTGTTCATTTTTTCAAAATTGTTCATAAAGTTATGGATGTAGATTGTTAATAAATTGTAGTTTGGAGTACGTTTTCAGCAAATTGTCTCATGAAAATCAAGGGGCCGGAATCATAGTGCCGATTTCATTGAACAGCGCCATCTTGTGTTATAAAAGAAAGAGTGAAAAATAATTTTGTGACGGAATGGACTATTTTAAGCGATAGGACCCGGGGTAGCCGAACAATTTGTCAACCTCCTCATTTATGTTCGACACTGTAGCTTGATTCACACTATGATACGAAGCATGAATAATGTCTTGATGAGAAAGGAGCATTGCTTTTGGTAATAGGTGTTTGTATGTAATCTGCCTTGACTTGATAGCTTACCTGCACACGGAGACCCAGCATAACCAGCAGAGCACGCACAAGTATACATGTTCACTGCATCAATACAATCTTCATTAGCCATACACGGAGTGGAAGCACATTCGTCGATATCTGTGCAAATTGAGTTTCAATTATTATGTCTTGCCAAAGGACATTAGTGCCGCGGAGGGACTTTAACCGCGGACATGTACATGTGCTTCGGGGTTTAATGGAGCTTTGTCTAGTACAGGTACTAGAACCTTATTGAAACAAAACATTCATGTTAATTTCTACGGGGATCAAAATTATGATACATCGGGTTTTAAAGATAATATGCCCTTTTTTGCAGCCAACATCAAATTCTGTAGAACTTTGCAGAATTTTAGGAATATTTTATGAATGTCCTATCTGTGAAATTTAAACGTTAGCAGAGTCCTAATGATAAAATTATGCAAAGAAACCCGTTTACTCGCTAGACTTCACTGTCCACACTATGGAGTGACTGACTGGCTTTTTTATACTGCTTTGGTAATAAACATACATAAAATGAGCTGTAACGGGTACATGAGCATTTGTCTACATCCATAACCCACTTCTTGTAATGGCCACAATTAAACTGATTGAATCTTTGCGCAGCATCAATCGTATGACCATTCGGTACAATGGTCTGAAAATCAGACTATTACTTACTGGCTCTATAGCTCTTAAGTCGATTCGACAACTAGTCGTTGTTTTCCCACTTCAAGACATTTTGAAGCCCCCCTTTTTTTTAGGGAAGTTCTAAATTAGTATTTACTTTCAACTGCCGGTGGAATTTCGACGGCTTGAAAGTGTGTAGGGAATTATAAAGGACCGGGCAGATTCTGGACTAATACGTTACCGACCTGTTACACACGTAGCAATTTCTTTTTTTAACCATTCACTTGTTTTCTCTCTATTGCGCTCTCCTTTTTCTCTCTTATTCTCGTTGATCTTAAATAAATTATCACTTTCTTTTCTCTTCTTTTCTTCCGTCATTCTCTCTGGACCCAACCTCTTTATTAAGCCAGTGAGAATGATATATTTACATACCTCTGTCACACACAGATCCTGTAAATCCATCAGCACATGTACATGTATTGGTACCAGTAACACATGTACCTTGGTTCAGACACGGGTTGTCACCACCTGCACAGTCGACTACAAAGAAGAGAGAAATCATTCCAAACTAATCTTGCACATTTACTGAGAAGGAAAATAACAAGTGACTATTTGTGAGAACAGTCACGCTTGGTAAAAAATCTTATATTCAAAATAAATGATTGGAATTTGTATTGTTAATTTCATCAAACTCCAGAGGTGTATCCACGTGTATCCACTTCCGGTAAGGTTGTCGGAGTATTTCTTTAAAAGTATCGTATGATAAGAACAGTCACGCTTGGTAAAAAATCTTATATTCAAAATAAATGATTGGAATTTGTATTGTTAATTTCATCAAACTCCAGAGGTGTATCCACGTGTATCCACTTCCGGTAAGGTTGTCGGAGTATTTCCTGTAAGGTAAGACGGCGTACGCTGGTCAAATATCACAGTCGTACTGTGTAAGAGTTGTTGGGATTACCCCTGACAAGATAGCTTTATTCACATATCAGGTGAAGGAAAAGGATGAGTGCATTCACAGGTCAGACATTTTCAAGAATAGCTTACATTAATAAAGGTTCATTTAACCTAATATTATTATCTGTGTGAATTAGTAAGATCCCAGTCTAAGGTGTTTCTCGATTCCCGCCTTGTGACAATATGCACTTGGTTTTCGTATGTGAGCAAAGATTATTCGAAGAAAAGAAAAAATCACTTGGCAGTCTCACCTTTTTCAGGGTTAATTTCGTACCATTCTTTATGCAATACAATGTAGTTTTTAGTTTGGATATTTACCGTGCTATTATGTTCTTATTATTTCATTTCTTCAGTACTCACTTCTTGACTTTCTTCTATTTCCATAGTGCTTAGAGACTCAATTGTAATTTACGCTATATAAAAACTGAATATTAATCTATAAATATCTTACTTGTGTCAGCGCATGTAGCTCCATAATACCCCGAAGCACATGTACATACATTGTTGTCACAGGTACCTGTGTTCATACACAGGATGTCCGCAGAACAGACCACGACTGAAAGTAGAGAAAATATACTAAAATAAATAACGAATTTCACATTTATTGTTAAGGACCAAACTGCTCCAAAAGCGTGGAATTTAAGAATGGTGTACTTAAAATTGTTAATTTAGAAAGTAAGAATTACTTGTTTACCTTCTTAATGGAAATCTTGGGGGAGGGGGTGGGAGGGGGGGGGGGGTAAATTACAATAAAGACCATGCAATAGTTATTAAAGGTTA